CTGCCCGTGGTCTCCCTGCTCATTTGAGCGCCCCGCGCTGTCCACCAGTGCATTCGAGTGCCTGGGCGGTCCACCAGCGCATTTGAACCCCTAGTGTAGTCTCCTAGTTCATTTGAGCTCCAGCTCGTGTGGTCTCCGAGCGCATTTAAGCGCCCCTACTCCACCCGCCGGCGCATTCGAGTGCCCTGCTCGGTCTGCCAGTGTATTTGAGCGCCTTGCATGGTCTTCCAGTGTGTTTGAGTGCCATGCACAGTGTCCAATGCATTTGAGCTCCAGCTCACACGGTTTTCCAGAGCACGTGAGTACCCCATGAGGTCTCCCAGCGCTGTCTCCCGGTGTAGTCTCGTGGAGTGTCTCAGCACACAGGAGCGTAGCCTTCGCTGTCTTCCAGAGCGGTTGAGTGATGCCTGGTGGTATTTCCCAGTGTGACTGAGTGCAGCTTAGCGCTGTTTAGCATACTGCAGTGTGTGTGGCGCGGGGGTGGGGGGGTGGGGTAGGGGGGTCGGTCATGCCCCTGTGGGCGGGGCTGCAGGGAGCTGTTCACTGTTCCCTGTCTGTGGGCCCTGTCCATGGGCAGCTGTCTATGGTTCACTCTCCATGGGGTGCTGTACATGGGGCACTGTCTACGGGCAGTTGTCTACTGTCTGCTCTCCAGGGATGCTGTCCACAGGGTGCTGTCCTTGGTCACAGAGCCTCAGCAGTGCTTCTGTGCACTTTTGGCTGAACAGGTTAGGGAAAAGAGTTTAGTAAAGACCCTGGGTGTCTGAGGAAGAGAAAGAACGTCCCGGCAGACCTTTGGGTGCTCAGGCAGGCAGGAAAGAGGAGTCACTGTACTGTCAGCCTGGTGCCGTCAGGCAGCCCTGAGCCCGGTCCCCTCTCACTGGCTTCTCAGTTTTCATCCTCTGACCTTCACCACCCACCCTCCACCTGCAGGCCTTCCATTGTGTATGTAGAATTGGATCAGTTACAATCCTGAGTTAACGATGGATGTCATCATTAGTCTGCGGACTAATTTTTTTTTTTTTACTAATTTTTTTACTTTTTTCATTTAGAAAGTCGTTATTTATAATACAGTGAACCCTGTTTCTAACAAAATCTAGGGTCTTGACAGTAACCGCCATCTGACCTTTTAGCCCTTTTACATTTTAAACTCTTAATTCCCCCCTTAAAAAATCTGTGTGTAATTAACTTAACAAAAATGTACATCATACTATGTGTAACTTTTTAAGACTTCAGTAATAACAGTGATATTGCTAAAAATCAACCATAGTTTTGCCTTGTACTGTGGTTTATTTCTGTTACAATACATTATTTTGTGGATTCATCAAAGTTAACTTATCTCTTCTTTTGATGGGCCCTTGTGTGTTGTTTCCAGATTTTTGCTATTATGAGGAGTGTTCAATACTTGTTCACATTTTCTGTTGTGTATGTTGTAGATGTGTGTGATTTTCTCTTGTGTGTGTACCTAAAAGCGGAATAGTTAGTCATAGGGTACATTAATATTCAATTTTAGCCCATAATATCATGCTGACTTAAATAGCCAACACAGGAGAGCTCTGACCCATCTTCACTCCAACCCTTGGTATTTACATGGTATAACATATAATTCTTTGGTCACCAATGATATTAAACATCTCTTTTATATTTATTCTTCTGTTTGATCATGTCTTGTCCATTGTACATTGAATTATCTATTGCGTGGTACCTTTTTTAACCTAAGCCTTTTTGGAAGTTTTAGAAGTTTCTCTTTGCCTTTGATACTAAAATTCACCATGATGTAGCCAGACTCGGTGGCTCAGATCTGTAATCCTACTACTCTGGAAGGCCGAGGTGGGTGGATTTTTCTGAGCCCAGGAGTTTGAGATCAGCCTGAGCAAGATCGGACCCTATCTCTACTAAAAATATAAAAACTAGGCAGGTATAGTGGCGGGTGCTTGTAGTCCGGAATACTTGGGAGGCTGAGGGAAGGAGATAAATTGAGCCCAAGAGGTTGAGGTGGGTATGAGCTACGATGATGCCGCAGCACTCCACCAAGGTTGCCAGAGTGAGGCTGCCTCAAAAAAAAAATCAACATAATGTTGTGACTAGATGTGAGTTTCTCTTTATCTCTTTGTTTGGTATGCTGTGTGCTCTTTCAGAGAGGTCATTCATCTTCCTTTATTTCCTGAAATTACGTATAAATTGTTTTTTGTCCTTTTTGTGTAAATGTGTGAAGATGTTTTTGATGTCAGTTCTTTGTATCTCCCAGTTTATAACATTTTTCTTTCCTTTAAACTATTTTTTTTTTCTTTAAGAGACAGAGTCTCACTTTGTTGCCCTGGGTAGAGTGCAGTGGCATCACAGCTCACAACAACCTCCAGCTCTTGGGCTTAGGCAATTCTCTTGCCTCAGCTTCCTGAGTAGCTGGGACTATAGACGCCCACCACAACGCCTGACTATTTTTTTTTTTTTTTCTGTTGTTGTTGCAGGTTGGCTGGGGCCAGCGCCCTACTCACTGAGCCACAGGTGCCACCCTAAACTATTTTTGTATGAATATAAAATCTTCTATTTTTTTTTTAGAGACAGAGTCTCACTTTATCGCCCTCAATAGAATGCTGTGATGTCACAGCTTACAGCAACCTCCAACTCCTGGGCTTAGGTGATTCTCTTGCTTTAGCTTCCAGAGTAGCTGGGACTACAGGTGCCTGCCACAACGCTTGGCTATTTTTTTTTTTTTTTCTTTTTAGAGACAGAGTCTCAGTTTGTCTCTCTCGGTAGTGCGCTATGGCATCACAGCTCACAGCAACCTCCAGCTCTTGGGCTTAGGCGATTCTCTTACCTTAGCCTCCTAAGTAGCTAGGACCACAGGTGCCTGCCACAATGCCTGGTTATTCTTTTGTTGCATTTGGCTGGGGCTGGGTTTCAACCTGCCACCCTTGGTATATGGTCCAGTGCCCTACTCACTGAGCCACAGGTGCTGCCCTGCTTGGCTATTTTTTGTTGCAGTATTTGTCAGGGCCAGGTTTGAACCTGCCACCCTCAGGATATGGGGCTGGCACCCTGCCCACTGAGCCACAGGTGCTACCCTGAATAAAAAAATCTTAAACAGAGCTGGTAAACCTTACAATCTTCCCTGCCCCCAAATTAGTAGAGGTCTTTTATTGCCTTATTAATGTAGCACATATGGGTCTTAGGAATCATACCACTCGTTTGGGCAGCTGGATGACTCTTAGGTCTTTTTCTTCTTATCTCTGTTTCTTCTTCAGAGACACAGATAACATCCAATAATTTTCTGATTTCTTTTTTTTTTTTTTGAGACAGAGTTTCACTTTGTCACCCTTGGTGGAGTGCAGTCACATCACAGCTCACAGCAACCTCAAACTCTTAGGCTCAAGTGATTCTCTAGCCTCAGCCTCCCAAGTAACTGAAACTATAAGCACCTGCCATAATGTCCAGCTATTTTTAGAGGTGAGGTCTCTCTCTGGCTCAGACTGGTCTCAAACCTGTGAGCTCAGGCAATCCACCTGCCTCGGCCTCCCAAGTGCTAGGATTACAGGCGTGAGCCACCATGCCCATCCTTTCTGATATTTTTTGTTTTTAAACTGTTGTGACTTACTGAACTTGAAACAAGCTGAATGTTGGCTCATCTTTCTGGGCCATATGCTCAGCAAGCAACACTTGGCCTCGTGTAAACCCTCTGGATGTATTTTTCACCCAAGAAATTCTGATTTTTAACAAGTGACCCATTCTCTTGGGTAATGATGCTGATCGGGAAGTGAACATACACAGACTTCATCTTGTAATGGAAGCTCAGCACAATACCCTTGATCATGTTCAGCATGTGACTGCAGACATCATAAATCATAGCTAGTTCCTTTGCGTTTTTCCACCATTTATCACCTCCAACCATCTTTGTTTTCTTCCCAAGGAGACTGAGTTCTACATTGACGTGATTGGAGTCCTTCCGCAAGTTTCCTCTGGGGCCCTTCACAATAACTGTGTGTCCCTTCAGAGCCCTGTCCTTGTTTCCTGGAACGTCAACAGTCTGCTTGTTGAGCATGGCCCTCATTCTCATAGTTGATACAGCAGAGAGCCCAGTCTTTCCTTGTAGTTACTGTTTTTGTAAGAGATTTTTTTTTTTTAATGTTAAGATTTCTACCATGTTTTAAAGTTTGGATTTTGATGTTTATATCTTTAATCCATTGAAAGTTGATTTTTGTGGACAGTGATAGGTAGAGGTTCAATTTATCTTTGCCCAGGTGGGTGATCATTTTGTTTCCAGTTCCATTGACTTTATGGCTTTTCTTTTTCCCACCCATCTGTTACTACTGTGTGAATCAAAGTGTGAAACACGTAGGCATCTCTGTGCTCGCTCTTTTAATCCGTTGGTCTCTGTTCTAGTCTGTCAGTTTGTTCCAGGGCCAACCTCCATCATATTAATTTTACATAGCCTTTTTAGTCTGGATTTTTAATGTTTCAGACAAACCAAGATGTTGTCATTCTACTTAGGGGCATTTCTAAAGAATTTTGCTTTTATGGCATGTGTGATGGGACTTATTAAAGAGTTTCAGGAGCAAAATTATACATTCTGGTTAATGTTTTTGAAGATCACACTGGTGCAAGATGGATGGGGTAGGGGGGTCATAGAGATGAGACTAGAGTGGGGGCAAAGGGATCAATGCAGAGGCTAGTGCCAGAGCGCAGGCAGGGATGGCGGTGGCTTTGGTGGTAGTAGATAAGGAGAAATGTGGGTGGATTTGAGGTGGAGCTTCCGATGGTGCATACTGAAGGTAGGAGTCTAGGAGAGACCGTACTCAAGGTGAGGCAGCGGGTTGGGTTTGAATAGCTGGGTAGGTGGGGAGGCTGCTTCTGAGATAATGAATTCTGGGTAGGGACAATTCTGTAAGGTTATTAACTGTCAGATAAATCATACTGTCACTTTTAATTTGCTTTTTCTTGGAAATAGCTGTACAGTTATGTATATTTTATAGTCTTGTTCATTGTCTTTACTCTCCAAATAGGTGACTCTCATCTGAGAAGTGCAACTACATCTATTCTGGAATTCAACACAACAGACAACTGTGAGCCGCTACAGGCAAATCACAAAATCCAGAGTAGCATCACTTTCCTGTGTGGGAAAACCTTGGTGAGTCCACGGTTACTTTCTGTTTTTGTTTTGTTAAAAATGCCTGCCCTTTGGGCTTTCTTGCTATAGTGGTGTTTCAGGAATAAGTGAGAAAAATTAAAAACATAAACAGAAACCTCAGCCAAATCACCATCACCCTCAAGAACCAATAAGTAAACAAATCCCAGATTTACAGTTTCAGCTTCTAACTGTAACTGAGCCCCCATGTTGTGTAAGACTATAATTCAGAGTGATTAGTGTGTAAAAACTCAGTGTATTTTTTAATGGTTATGTACAGGCATAGTTTTGTTTTCTTTCTTTCTAAAACTTATCCTTGCTAGGCTTGGCAGCTCATGCCTGTAATCCCAGCCACTTGGGAGGCTAAGGCAGGAGGATTGCTTGAACTATTGCACTCCAGTCTGGGCCATAGAGCAAGACCCTGTCTCTTAAAAACAACAACAACAAAAATTTCCTCCTAGCATTCCATTTTGATAGATTTGAAGGCAATGTGTTAGTTTTTTTTTTTAAATATTTTTTCAGTTGAAACAATAAAAAAATTTTTTTCTTTCCTCATTTACACTGAATTGGAAAGATCCAAATCTAAGCTTTTAGGCATTATGTGGTTTTTAAAAGGGACATCATTGTGTGTCAACTGTTAAGCATTACATTTGTTCTGATGTTAAGTATATTGTATGTAATCTTTAGTTTTTAGAAAGAGATGTGCAGTAAATAATTGCTAGCTTTTAGGAGAAGCAATTGTTAACACAAGTCTTATGAATGTTCTTGAATCACAGTTAAGAACCCAAGTGGTTAGGAAAGTCAGGGGGCTGCCAAATTCCTTAAAAACATCATTTTAGAATTTGGGCCTGTGGCCTTTGCATCTTCAGGTCTGTAACGTCGCATGTGAAGAACTTTGGAAATAGAACTAACACTGTTCATTTCGGATCAGTTTATTAACTGTACTACCATATGCTTTGAAATCGTAAAAAAAAATCTGTTTGCAGCAGCATGAAATTGAAAGGTTAATGCTGTATAGCTGCTGTTTTAACTAATTCCTTGAAGAATTCTGTGTTCCCTATGCAAGAAACAGACGTGTGAAGGAGAGTTCCCTAGATTTGCACATGGAAATGCAGAGGTTAATTCCTGCTGTGCTGCGAGTCACCCCTTGATGCTGTGGCTGACCAGCTTGGAGTCTACTCTGGGGGAGGGTAGTAGGAGGCATAGCCTCCAGGGTGGGCCCCTGCAGTGAGGCTGGTGCTTTAATCCTGTGGCCTGGTGGGGGCACTTACTGAGTCGTGGCAGATGGGCTGCTCATGGGGCCTCCTCACATGAAGGATGAGGTCACATTTCCTGGATTGGATTTGGTTGGAATTTGGTTACGAGAACCTTCAGAGTGTGAGAGTAGAGCGACTCTGAGGATCTCTTCCTGTGAACTTACCGTTCTTCTGTAGTTGGGCAGTACAACAGTTTTGGATTAGTTGCACTAAAATTCCAACATGATTTCATGAAGTTTTTGTCTCAAAATTTTTGGTCTGGGAACCTCACGACGGCCTCCTGTAACTAAAACAGCTGTGTTCCTCTGCTCCTCTTCCTGTCCCACCCTTCTTGTAGCTGCTTTTTAAAAAAATTTCAATAGTCTTTTCTGTGTCCTAATTTTAAAAAGAAACTTTACAATATGTAGTATGGTAACTTATCTTAATTTTCTTTTTTTTAAATAGGGAACTCCTGAATTTGTAACTGCAACAGAATGCGTGCACTACTTTGAGTGGAGGACCTCTGCAGCCTGCAAGAAAGATATATTTAAAGCTAATAAGGAGGTAACAAGGGAGCTTGAAGGTTTTGTGCTTACGAGGTAAACTGTGGACCTTTTAGATTTGAAAGACTCAGCCTGACATTTTGGAATGAAAATCTTTTTTAGTTTTCAAACTCTGTTTGAGTAGAGATGCTGTGTGATTTAATAACTTTTCTGGCTGGTTCTTTTTTTTTTTTTTCCTACTTTATTGCCCTCCGTAGAGTGCCATGGTGTCACAGTTCACAGCAACCTCCAACTCCTGGGCTTAGGTGATTCTCTTGCTTCAGCCTCTTGAGGAGTAGCTGGGACTACAGGCACCCGCCACAAGGCCCAGCTATTTTTTTGTTGCAGTTTGCCAGGGCTGGGTTTGAAACTGCCCCCCTCGGTATATGGGGCTGGTGCCCTACCCACTGAGCCACAAGCACCACTGGTGGTTCTTATTTCTAGGACAGTGCCTTTAAAATATTACAAGATATGATTTTTGATCTAGATTGGAAATAAGAGTTGTCACCTATATAAGGCAAGTTGGTTCCTCTTGGGTTTTGGTGCTGGGTCACTCAGTAAATCAGCTGAGTGATGTGATGGGGCTTGGGTTTAGATTATTCTCCCTGTCTTTGGAATCCATCAGTTTCTGACCTTGACTGTGTTATCTTCCCCTGCACCTGGCTTCCTGCCTGTGGCAGCCTGCTCTGATGAGTCTCCTCTGCCCCCCTCCCTGTTTTTTAATTGTTTGGGGTCTCTCCTCAGTCCTGAGTGGCTTCTGGCTGAATGGTGAACCCAGGTGACACACACACATACAGAACATGTGTACATACATACATGTTTATTGTGTACAATGGGATGTTTCGAAATGTGTAGACATTGTAGAATGGCTACATCCAGCTAATTAAATGCATTAGTTTTGTGTTTTGAGAACACTTAAGATCTGCTTTCTCAGTACATTCTTAGTTGCTGTGGACCCCGTGTTGTGTAACAGCCCTCTTGGTCAGTCATTCCCAGCCTGGGCCTCTGTTGTTGTTCTGTCCCTGGCTGTCCCTGGTCTGGGGCAGAGCAACAGTATTCTGCTTTTTCCCCTGCCACCCCCCAGATTTCAGAGGTGGTCTCTGTGTTCACAGTCTAGTTCCTTGATTATTCTCTTTTCTCCATTACTTTTCTGCTTTTCAGGATTGAGTTGAAAGATTCTCTCAGGATACAGGAACCCACAAATGATAGTGTTATTGATGGCCTAATACCATGTAGTTTAAGAAAGGCGAAAAGAGATGTCTGTTCTTTAAAAGTCCAATCAAATCTACTTAGGAATAATGGTCCCTGTGTTTTTTTGTTTGTTTTTGTTTTGTTTTTTTTTTTTGAGACAGAGTCTCACTTTGTTGCCCTCGGTAGAGTGAGGTGGTGTCATGGCCCACAGCAACCTCCAACTCTTGAGCTTAGGCGATTCTCTTGCCTCAGCCTCCTGAGTAGCTGGGACCATGGGTGCTCATCACAACACCTGGCTATTTTTTTGTTGTAGTTTGGCTGGGGCTGGGTTTAAACCCGCCACCCTCGGTATATGGGGCCAGTGTCCCACTCACTGAGCCACAGGCACCACCCTGTCCCTGATTTTTCAAACATGGTCATCTATAAATAATCCGGTCTCATGTGGAAGTGGTGGAGTCAAGTGTCGCCTTGGGGAAAGAGCAAAAGGACTGCTCTGTGAGAGCAGAGCACAGTGCCGAGAGTTAAGGCTGGTAATTAGGAGGTGTGGTCCAGTTTAAACTGTTTCAAGATATTCTGTTAGTGATGGGGAAGCATCTGGAGCCCTCCTAATCCCCCCTCTGCTGAGTCTGCGTTGCTTCCTGTGGGGGAGGCTGGAGCCTGTCCCTGGCTCTCCTGACATTAGACCTCAAACCTCCTTCCCTCGGCCCCTCAGCTCATGGGCCAATTCCTGCATGCAGGCTTTTTTTTGTACAACCCCAGAACCAAGAATGGTTTTGACATCCCCCCCCCCCCCAGGGTTGTTTTATTAAAAAGAAATGAAGAATATGCAGCAGAGGCCAGTGTGATCCACAAAGTCTGAAATATATACTGGGTGGGGCCCCTTAGAGGGAATGGGTGCTGATCTCTGTTCTAGATTGTATTTTGGGGAGGGAGATGGGGTATAGTCTGTTCTTTTTTTTTTTTGAGACAGGAGCCTCAAGCTGTCCCCCTGGGTAGAGTGCCGTGGCATCACAGCTCACAGCAACCTCCAACTCCTGGGCTTAAGCGAGTCTCCTGCCTCAGCCTCCCGAGTAGCTGGGACCACAGGTGCCCGCCACAGTGCCCAGCTATTTTTTGGTTGTAGCCATCATTGTTGTTTGGCAGGCCAGGCTGGATTTGAACCCGCCACCTTGGGTGTATGTGGCTGGCGCCTTAGCCACTTGAGCCACAGGCGCCGAGCCGTCTGTTTTTTTCAAAACAGGGACATTTAATTTCTCTCAGAAGCTGATCTAAAGATGCATGAGAAACGTTTAATTTGTCCTCAGTTACCATCTCTTCAGGTGTGGTGGCATCTGGGCTCATCTGTTCAGTTGTCGTTTACTGAGACCTCATCGAGGATTACGGTAGGAATTGCATTTCGTTTAAAGTGATTCGTGATTTCTGGGAGTCCGTGGACAGTGGTGCAGAGGACACGTTCACATTCAGGGGCTTAGTCTTTTTCTGCCTCAGGGATCCATGAGTTAGATGGAAAAGAATTTATGAGCATAATGACAAGGAAAAATGTAGCGTGTCACCATCGCAGATCTTAGTAAAGCGTGTGTCCTCTTTGTGTGATGTGATGTTGCCTTACAAGCTGTGGTATGCTAACTTTTAAAGATGTATTAAAGGTTTCACGTACTTGTACAATGCTCAGCATTCCTTAAAAAAATCCAATCCTTATTTGTGGTCTTAATTTCCACACCTCACTGATGGCTCCTCATTTCTTTTTTATTAGTTTCGCTCTGTCAAATTTAGAATGATTTGGGGGGTAAATTTAGCTTGGTGGTTCTGATCAACACCTTTTGAAACTCCTGTTGTAACGATTGTTCATGGATGCTGGTAAGGGTTTTTTGAACAGTTACCTTCTTAAAGCGCTGTGTAAATGCAACGGGAGGCGCAGTTCAAAGCTGGCCTGTGGGGTCTCACCGGAGTTGTCTAAGTACGATTGATGGACACAAAATGGTGTCCACCCCTCCCCTGCCGGCTGCTGGATTCCTGGCCTGGTTCCTGTCTCCCGAGCTTTGTGGGAAGTGGGAGGACAGGCTCCTGGAGCCTGGACTGTTTCTCAGGCCACGACTGCAGTTCCCGAGGCCAGGAAGACGGCCGGGACTTGGGGCCGTTCTGGGCTGGTGCCTGCTGGCCTTGCCGTCTCTGTGTCTTGGTGCCTCTGGTTCCCTCGGCTCCTTTTCTGACACAGGCTTGCGTGTGGCTGGCTCGAGAGCCGATCCTCATCCCACCCAGTCATCTTGCTCCCCTCTTGGTTCATGTTTTTGTGCAGTCTTGCTGTGGGATGACAAGCTTTAGATTTGTGGATTGTGGACACATGTGGTTGCAGCCCGGCTGCAGTCTTCCTCTTCCTTGGATCGCCTTTCTGCGGGAATGTGGCAGGAGGCTCATGCTGCGAGCACTGGAGGCCACCCCCTCCCTCCTAGAAGAGAGGCTCTGGTGACCCAGAAGCATTTTAGGCCGGGGCTGACTTTGCTTTGAGGACACGGCCGAAATGAGTTTAAGGCTGTAAGAGAGGCGTAGGTGGTTTGATTGACTCCGTTAGCTCCCCATGAAGAAGGTTGGTGGGTGAGAGCATTCCTGCAGACCTGCCTGTGAATTGCTTCATTCTAAAAAAAGAAAAATTTTAGGAAATTGATCTGTGGAAAGTAATAAAATTACTTTGAAATGATAGCAGAAAACACAGATGTTTAGAATATTCATTGGAAGGAGTTGCTATTGTGTCATTTTGGAAATAAAATTTATGGAGGTGTTCCAAATAAAGTCAGGGCGGGAGTTGATGTTCACTTGGTGACCTGGGCCTTTTTCCTCTTGGGCCTTTTTCCTCTCGGGAACATCTTTGGTCTCGAATACTTTGCCTTCAGAATTGGGGGAACTCTTAAAGCATCAACCGTAATGACAGGTTCCTTGACATTTGTAAAATAAAGAGATTCCTGGGGAATGGCTGTAGAACTAGGTAAGGACGGATTAAGATGCTGAGAAGAGGAACTCATCTTCCCATTAGGATTTGCTGGGACTGAGCTTCTGTAGGTTCTGGACATTGTCCCAAGCCTTGGTTAGTACTTCGTTCATGGTGACGAAGCTGTTGCTTTATTTATTTTTGTCATTCGGGGGCATCGTGGCCTGACAGGCCCTAAGGAATGGAGACCAGGGTTGTATGACATTGGTCCTGAGCTTGTTGATCCGCCAGTCCCAGGATGTGTGTTGAAGACTTGTCTCGTTCTCTTCCAGGTGCCATGCTACGCATTTGATGAAAAGTTGGGGAAGCATGACCTGAACCCACTCATCAAGCTGAGCGGGGGCTACTTGGTGGATGACTCTGACCCGGACTCTTCTCTGTTCATCAATGTCTGTAGAAACATAGGTAGGAACCTGTGGGAGGTAAGGGATGGTGGTGGTGAAGGATTCTTACAAGGCTTCAGTATCTTTGTCCTTCTGCCCTTTGGTGTCTTGGAACGTCCATTGCACTGATGGGGCTGTCCCAGAAAGCATTTGTTTTGAAGGATGTTCTCTTTGGACAGCCCACCCCTCAACCGCCTGTGAATTCTGATTCCATGTCTGTGCCCCCTGTCCCCCTTCCCCCACAGATTCCATCCAAACTATTGGTCCATGATGTGAGTTTCTCTGCCACACATTCCAGGTTTCAGAGCTCTGCGATGCAAAAGGGTTGGTCTTGCCTCCTGTGTGTACCAAGTTCCTGGCTTTGCGTTATAGGCTAGGTCCTTGATCATGATGCATATTTTCGCTGAAGTCAGCTTCTTCCCTGACTTTGTAGATGCCAGAGGTAGCGTAAGAAGCTTTAGACTCCTTGGTAAATTAACAAAAGGCTGTAAATAAACAGGGCCATAATAAGTTCTACTAAGCCTTCAACCTAGCTTTTAGCTAGTTAGGTTTCTTTTCTTTTCTTTTCTTTTTTTTGAGACAGAGTCATTTAGTCACCCTGGCATTTAGTGCTGTGGTGTCACAGCTCACAGCAATCTCAAACTTTTGGGCTCAAGGGATCTTCTTGCCTTAGCCTCCCAAGTGGCTGGGACTATAGGTGCCTGCCACAGTGCCCAGCTATTTTTCGAGCTGGGGTCTCACTCTGGCTTGGGGTCTTAAACACCTAAGCTTAGGCACTCCATCTGCCTTGGCCTCCCAGCTAAGCTAGGTTTCTAGAAACTAGCTTCACAGTTCCTTAAGGGCTATGGATTGTTAGTCCTGTTGGCTAGGACTTGTCTTTTTGTAGTACTAGTAGCCACGAGTAAATTTTGCTGGTGATTAACTTATACAAAGATCATTTTTAGTGTTTTCCTTATATTTGTAATAGTACATAATGCTTTTTAAATTTATTTTTTAAATCTTGTGTTTTATTCATTTAATTTTATTATTTATTTATTTATTTATTTTTTGAGACAGAGTCTTAAGCTGTTGCCCTGGGTAGAGTGTCCTGGCATCATAGCTCACAGCAACCTCCAACTCTTGGGCTCAAGCGATCTTCTTGCCTCAGTTTTTCTATTTTTAGTAAAGACAGGGTCTTGCTTTTGTTCAGGCTGGTCTCGAACGTGTGAAATTAGGGAATCCACCGCCTTGGCCTCCCAGAGTGCTAGGATTACAGGTGTGAGCCACTGTGCCTGGCCAGTACCTAATGCTTTGTCTTTAGAAAAGTTTAGAAAAAAATCTTAAGAATAAACCCATGCAGGATTTAAATTATTGCTGGGTATTTAAATTACTCTTTAAACTGTACTGATACATTATGTATCATCTTGTTTGTATATTATTTCTACTTTTTCTTTTTTCTTTTTTTTTTTACTATTTTAGAAAAAAAATAGTCTCTTGACTCCAATGCTGGATTCTAGCTATTCCAGCTATTCTATCTCTGCGTGACGTATATTATTTTTAAATAGTTAAAAATAGTAATTATACCCCACACATGGCTCAGTAGAAGTGACCAGTGATAATTTTAGGTTTTTGTGTGTGGCAGGATGCTTTGTTATTTTATTCTCCAAGGGCAGCCTTCCTTGTTCTTTTGGGAAGAGACTGATATTATAGTTAAAATCTTTATCTTAAATTGGTCTGTAACTCAGGCTTCGTTATAAAGTTGAAGTATCTTGTAGATTATTAAATTCTGAATAATAAGCTATTTTGATTTGGAAAACATTTAGACTTCTGGTCTTTTATTATTTTCAAGATTATCTGAATTTGCTGGCTGTGAAAGCCTTTTTCTTTCAAATTTACTGGCAATTTGAGTTGAATTGCATGATTTTGATTCATGCTAGAGGTGTCCCCGGTTTTGCTTATTCTCCATCATCGGGAAATTGCTCAGAATCTCAATCCAAGTTTGAATGGGACTCTGAGACCCTCATGTAGGGTCTTAGGCTTGCTGCCGTGTGCTCACCTCCTCAGACACTCAGCGCACTTGCATTATGTTTGGCCTTCAGGAGAGCAGACAGTTGGCCTGTTTAACACTGTGTTCCCATGAGGGCCAGTGGCCTTTGGCACAGTAGATGTTAATTGTGAACAAACAGTGGGTTAAGTGAAAGGTCATAACACTACCCCATGTGTGAGGACTCAGGCGTCCAAGGTTCGCTTCCCTGTTCGTTAGCTCATGACTCCTCACCGCAGAAGGTATAATAACCCACCCCTCTCCCCCGTTGATGTGGCAGTTAAACCCCTAGGGGGGTGGCATTATTCAGTCCCTCATTCATGGAGAAAAAGTTTTTGAATCCCTTCTCTGTGCAAGGCTCTAATGTAGGTGCTGGATTCTAGCATTGGAGTCAAGTGGGGGGGGATCCATAGAGAGCAAGCAAATCCGTGGCATCCTGTGTCAGGGATCAGGCCTGGGAAGCATACCACAGGGGCAGAGCCTGCTGGCAGCCTGTAAGCCTGGGTGTGTTCTAGGCACGTTGGTGTGTGCTCCTCTCTAATCCTTCCCCAAACCTATGAGGCAGCACACTGGCAACTGGATAGCGTTGTAGTTAGACCAAAGTGACGGAGGTAGTAAGTGGTCCGTCCGTCTAGGGTCGGAACCCAGAACTGCGGGGTAATCCCACTAATCTTCAGATCTCTCCACTGCTCTGCAGAGCATTTTCTGTTCTCTCTGTATCTTGAAAGGAGATAGTGCTAAGGTTAGTGCACCTTAAGAAGGTGGTTGCGTTCCTCACCTCAGCTGACACAAGAGTCTCTGTTTACTGGGCACCGCTTCTCCACCAGTGCAGAGCTGGTACTTTGCATTCTGTCACCCTGACCTTGGTTTGGAGGTTAATTGCTTGCCCAAGGTCTCAGAATGGTTACATACAGAGACTTTTAAAAATTTCATGATTTGTTTAAAGGGACCCTGGACCTGAGGTATGTGATTACCATTCCTGACACTTAGTCTGATCTAATGCAATGTATGATGTTTTACAGACTTACTACGGGACCCGGGTTCACAGCTGCGTGCCTGTCCATTTGGCACTGCCGCCTGCCTGGTGAGAGGAGACCAGGCGTTTGACGTTGGCCAGCCCAAGGAGGGCCTGAAGCTGGTGGGCAAGGACAGGTCAGTGGGAGGCCTCGCTGCTGTTGGAATTTTTTTTTTGAGATAGAGTTTTACTTTGTTGCCCTGGGTAGAGTGCTATGGCATCGCAGCTCACAGCAACCTCCAGCTCTTGGGCTTAGGTGATTCTTTTGCCTCCGCCTCCTGAGAAGCTGGGACCATAGGCACCCGCCACAATGCCTGGTTATTTTTTGTTGCAGTTTGGCTGGGGCTGGGATTGAACCCACCACCCTTGAGATATGGGACTGGAGTCCTACTCACTGAGCCACAGGTGCCACCCTGCTGTTGGAATTTTTAATCCTCAAAAAGAACCTGACTTCTAGGGAGTCGCAACAGCGTCTTTTTCCAGCAGGGTTCAGATGGTGCCTGCAAAATGCCTCCTTCCCATGTGCTTATAAGACCAATGGTCTTTCTGCTCACTTGCTCATCACTTGTCTCTGTAGCAACAAAAACATCTGTCATGACCCAGTCCCTAGTGCACGTATAATTGCCTCTGATGATGGTTGTCATTCTGTGGCACCCGTGAAATTGATTTTCTGTCTTTGGAGGGGCAGTTTGTCGGTAACCTTCCAGGGTGCAGAGTTACCTCCCCGTTGGGCGTGGTGGGCACCCTGGTCCCTAGTGGGGCTAGTGTGCTCCTCCTGTGAGCTGTACTGTCTACATACAGCTTCCTTTTCTCCAGCACGTTGTATGTGATCATGTCCTGAGCATACAGCAAGGACTTTGATTTCCAACCCATCTTGGGGGCCTTTGGTAGACGTCTTAGTTGGGCTTTGCTCTAGTCTGGAACTAGTGGCCTGTCTGGCTGGTTGTAGAAATGGTATGCGAGTATAGCTTGCCCTCTGCCCATGGAAAGCACAAGAGCATAATGTCAATTGAGCAACGCTTGGAATCTTCTGTGTCCTGTACCGTAAGGAATACTAGAGACTAGGTGCCTTATGTCACAGAAGGCCATTTCCTCATGGTCTTTGAGACTGGAGGTCTGAGATCTCGGTGTTGCCAGTGTTGGTTTCTGCTGAGAGATCTCTCCTGGACTTGTTAGTCAGCCATCTTTGCCCTGTGTCTTCCCACGGCCTTCCCTCTGTGTGGGTCCGTGTCCTAATCTCTTCTGATAAGGGCGTCAGTCATATGGCTTAAGTGCCTACTCATGTGACTTCACAGTATTATTATGTATTTTACTTATCTCTTTAAAGGCCTTATGTCCATATAAGTCACATGCCGAGGTATGGCTTAGGGTTTCAACATCTAAGTTGAAACTGAATTGAAAGGGGTGACGCTAAAGTTAGCATATTTCAAGGAGAAGGTGAAACAATTCAGCCCATCCCAGTGTCCTAAGAAGTGACAGATGGGTAATTCTTACTACCAATGATTGAATGAGTAAGGATTCAGTAAAATGTGGGGCCGTGAACAAAGCCTGAGCTTGTGCTGGGAGAAAACGCAGGTCATCTATTTTCAGCTGTCCTGTCTCGGCAGCCGAGGAGCAGGGCGCATCCCACAGTGAGCACGGCAGGCCCTGCGGCTGGTGCCTGGGGGTGGAGATGGACCCTGGTCTGTGACTTCTGTGTATCCTTAGGTCAAACAAAAAGACCTTTGGTCTGCCCTTAGAAAGTGTTGCTTAAAGAGGGAAATGACACTGTAGCCTGATGGCCAAAGTGGGCCTTGCCTGTCCATCTGTGTTTGTTTTGTTCGCTTATTTACAGCCCTTTTGTTTGTTTTACTCAAACCGCCTTTCTTCATCTTTCAAGTATAATACTCACTGAAGTTTACTTAAAAAATTTTTTTTAAATCAAAATAAAGCTGTTTTATTCCGAAACTGCTTTTATATTTGAGTGTTTCTTCTATTACCTTTCTCCCTGAGTGAATGTGCTCTGAACTCAGGGCAGCATCCCCCGTGGAATGCCATTTTTACCCTTGTAATGCTCTTTTCTCAATGCGGATCTCCCAGGCTTGTTCTGAGTTACGTGAAGGAAGAGGCAGAAAAGCCTGACTTTTGTGATGGCCACAGCCCAGCGGTGACTATTACGTTTGTTTGCCCATCGGAGCGGAGAGAAGTAAGTGACTTGTCTCCTGAGACTTGGTGTGTGTGTGGGTGTCACCTGAGGTTGTCAGGGTCAGGAGGGTGGACCTGGACTCGGGAATGGGGGTGCTGGCAAGTGGGCCACCGGTGGGCTCTCTGGAGGAGGCCGCCTGCAGGAGGGCAGTTTGATTCTTGCTTTTTGCTTTTTTCCACCAACTTCGAGGGGCCTCTGCACGTATTATGGTGGTGTGGGACAGTGTCCTAGTTTGCCTGCAATGATTTTATTTTTGTAGTTAGGTTGATTTTAGCAAATAGGAAATAGTTGAGAAACCCTGAGTATAATTTCTCAAGCTAAGCCAGTTCTTCCTCCCTGCCTGCCTTCTTCCTCCAGGCCGGCACTGGCACTCAGGGCAGATTTATTGCTCTGTCTCGGACTGTTTATTAAATCTCCAGCACTGTTGTAAACTCCCTGAGGGGAGCTGCTAAGTCTTCTGGTCCTTGACAGATCAAGGCCAGTCTGTTTGCCCTTTGGTGGAGTCTGTTTGCTGTTAAAGGGTTTTTTCAGGGGGCATCCTCCGGGGGAAGGAAGGGGCCCTCTTTCCTTTAATTTATCTCTGCTCTTAGTAACAGAATGAAGTGGGTGGGACTGAATTCTTTTCCCAGAGAACCACACTTCCCTCCTCCAAAACAAATGTGGAATTTGCTCTGATTTCAGGCTGGCAGTGGGCCAGTGGTGGGGGGTGGGGGATGTGGGGACAGAAGTGCAGTGGAGGTTCAGCGTCCCCTTCGGTGTCCCCAGACTTCATGTCCATGTGTGGCCAGCTTAGTGGAGCCCTGACGAGAGCTGATACTGCTTCTGAATAAGAATGTTGAGGAATATTTATACTCTGCCGTAGTACCTACACATGTGAATTGGAATCTTTTTAGTCTAGTGAGACGTTCTAAATTGGTAGTGGTTTTAGTAGTTTTATCTTACTTTCAGTTCTGTATTTGGTGAGAATCACTTTACACTATGATGATTAAGAGAATGGAGAGTGTCCCTCCTATTTTTCTCCAGGGGGTGTGAGACACTTTTTGGTGTTAACACTGATTTGTCATTAGTGAGCTGGGGCTTTCCTGTGGAGCATGAACGTTCAACTCGTGCCGCTTGTGCTGGGACCCACGCCTGTGATACGTTTATTTAAGCATTTGTGTCAGCTCACTCAGTGCTTTTAGGAGCTGGCGTTTAGTAAATATTCAGCTTGTTATATAGATCTTTAAAAAAAAAGTTTATTTCCTTTATATACTGTAAAATTTACCTCTTTAGAGTTCAGCGTTCATTAGTGTCTTTACAGAACTGTGTAGCCATGGCCACCATCTGGTTTTAGGACATTCCTGTCCCCGCAGAAGGAAACCTCATGCCATTAGCAGTCTCTTCCCATTCCAACCATGAGGCTTCTCTCTGCCTCTCTGGATTTGCCTGTTCATGTAAATGGAATCCTGCAGCCTGTGGCTGTCTGCGCCTGGCTTCTCTCACTGAGCGCTCTGCCCTGCCTGCTGTCTGTCGGCCTGCACCAAGCCAGGGTCAGAAGCATCGATTTTGAGTCAGACAGAACAGTCAGAGCTGGGCTTGCAGCTCTGCGGCATGTAATTGTGTGTGACCTATTTGTAAACCTGGCACTGTGTACTGTGCCCAGCACGTGGCAGGTGCCCAGTCAATACTGATGGGACGAACGGTGCCCAGAGGCGGTACAGTGAGCCGTTTCTCCCGAGGATGATCGGCACCCTCCGCGGTTCCCACACAGATGAGTGTCAGGGCTGAGGCTTGTGAAGGCAGCTCTCTGCAGCAAGGGGCAGAATCTGGGCTTGTGGTTGGGTGACGCCCTGGCTTCACCCAGGAGCAGATTTGGGTACAGAGGTGGCACCTTGAGGCTCTCTTGACCTGTAACTCTCAGGAAAAGAGTTCTGTGTGGACTTGCAGGGTGATGGTCACCGAGCCCTGGTTAAGTACTTGCCTTTCGTGGAAGGGAGCAAATGAACCATGCACCCTGCAACCCGTATCACTTGTCGAGGTCATAATGATTGTCAGATGCTGCAGACTCCAGGGTATGCGGCCTGCTAAACTTGTCTCTCTAGAGATGACTGACAGGCCTGGAGTTAGAAGTCAAGTGTAGGAAAGTAAAAGTTAAGATTAAAAATGGTAAAAATAAAAGGAAGCAAAAGTAAATGCAGTTGTTGTAAGTCAAATACTCTTAACATATTCTGGGAAATTATGATTCAGAAAAACAGGAATAGCCCAATATAGAGCAACCTCTCGTTGCGCTTTCTAGAAGCATGGAAAATCTGCATTTCAGCCGCATTTCACAAAGTTTACTTTGTTCCTTTCAAATCGTTCCTCATAGGGCACCATTCCCAAACTCACTGCTAAATCCAATTGCCGCTACGAAGTTGAGTGGATTACTGAGTACGCCTGCCACAGAGACTATCTGGAAAGTAAAACCTGCTCCCTGAGCAGTGAGCAGCAGGATGTGGCCATTGACCTCAGGCCCCTGAGCAAAGGTGAGTGGGCTCCTCCTGCTCTGCCCTCTCCCCGCACAGCCCAGGAGGCGAGGACCTGGGAGGGGGCAGGACAGTGGGCTGAGCTGCCCATGCTGCCCGGTGAGGACCGCCACTGGGGCTGGTGCTGCACAAACAGGATTCTGCATCAACTAAAGTGACCGTCAGCTCTAATACCTGTTCACGTAATAAGGGGGCCTCTTCTCCTTTGCTTCCCTTTCTTTAGGTTCATACTACGATTCAGATGGAAAAGAATACACGTTTCATTTGAACATCTGTGGAGCAAATGAAACACACATCTGCAATAAGAAAGATGCCGCGGTTTGCCAAATTAAGAAATCCGATTCCACTCAAGTCAAAGTAGCAGGAAGCTACCAGCACCAAACCCTCCGGTGGGTAGCGAGCCCCACATGAGTCCATGTGCGCCCTGCACCTTCTTATCAAGCACCGCTCACTCCCCTCCTCTGCTTCCTCTTCCCATTTTCCATAGAGCTCGGGCACTCAGAAGCCACATTCCTTCCCATTTCACTTAGGCAACTTGTCATTTGTCGCTGAACAGTTGGCTGTTTTTCCTAACCTTACCATAATAGTGCTTCTGTCAAAACCATTCGCTTTATAAACTATTGTTTATAAGAGCTATACTGTAGGAAAACTATTTAGTTAATTTACAGTCAATATGGTTTTGTGTTTTAAAATTTATTTTTGTGGAGTTTTGATTTTTCTCTAGCAATTTGAGAATCTAAAATGCTATTAACATTATACAAAAGTTTTAAACAACTAAAAAATGCATTTGGTGCAGTTCTTATGACTCTTACCTTGGTAGTTAACCTTCACAAGAACAGCAGTATGGAAATGCATTTTTTTGTTTTTGTTCTGTTTTTTTGAGACACAGTCTCACCCAGTCACCTACAATGGCATCATAGCTCATGGAAACCTCAAACTCTTAGGCTCAAGAGCTTCTCTTGCTTCAGCGTTCCAAGTAGCTGGGACTACAGGTGCCCACTACCACGCTTGGGTATTTTTCCAATTTTTAGTACAGACAGGGTCTCGCTTTTGCTTAGACTGGTCTTTAACTCCTGAGCTCAAGCAATCCACTTGCCTCAGCCTCTGAAAGTTCTAGGATTACTGGCATGAGCCTCCATGCCCGGCTGGAAATTCGATTTTCTGAAAATGTGTTATCGACACATTTTATGTGTTATGATTCAAAAATCAGGAACAGAAAAATGTAAAGACCCAACAGCCTATCTTGAGCTTTCAGAAGTGTGGAATCTCTGCAGTTAAGCTGCATTTAAAAATTTTTACTTCGCTCCTTTTATAGTGTCCAGGATTAGTACCATCCAGGATCCCTCAGTAAGATTGTTTTTATGGCTGCTGATACAAGGGCGAATTCTTGGGCATTATTTATTTTGTACAAAATGTAAAAGTAAGAGCCAGAGAGAAGTCTCTGTGCCCACAGTCAAACTTCCAGTGTTTTCTTCCAGCCAGTTATACTTTGAAGCCAGAGGATGACAAGTTCGTACATTTGGAACTCATTTCCTCTAGATATTTTCTCCCAGCTGGTTAGAGAGCTTGCTGTTTTATGTCAGTAGTGATTTTTTGATAGTAGGTGAAAGGCTTAATGCAGACTTTAAAAAAGAAAAATTAAAAGTTTCTTTCTTGGTTCTACCAAACAATGTATGTATCGTCACAAAAATCTAGATACTCTGATGGAGACCTCACCTTGATATATTCCGGAGGCGACGAGTGCAGCTCAGGGTTTCAGCGGATGAGCGTCATCAACTTTGAGTGCAGTGAGACTGCAGGTAAGTATGCCCTGGAGTTCATCTCCTGCCTGCGTTGATGGTGTGCGTGTGCACGCACACATTCTTGGAGTGGATTATTGAATGGAGAAGGCAGATGTCCTCAGACCAGCTACCTCCGTTTCCAGGGTAGCCTTTTCTGCTGGAATGACCCCTCCCCCCGACTCCCCCAGCGACACACACATCCTGTTTCCATTTTCCTCTGCTGCTGTGTTAGTTTTGGGAATGGGCCCAGCACTGAGCTTGCTGGGAAGGAGTTTCTGTGTTGAATTTTGACGCACACTAAAGCAAGGCTGGGTTAGCAGAGGTGGAGTAGCTCCTTCTTTTATGTAATGAGTATCAAGATGACCTTTTCACAAAGTGGTAGCCCACAGAAAAGTCAGATCTGGGGATTGCAGGATGTTACGGGGCACACTGATGCCGAAGGTGGCCTGTGCTTCTCTGAGTGATTAGGAGAATTGTTTTTGGACCATCATGGTGCTGGGATTTCAAATTGCTGTGATGCCCTCTGTGTCTTGACGATTTTAGACACAGTTGCACTGGTAGAGGGATTCTGTTGTCATCAGAGACACATCTCGTCCATTATCCCCCAGGCTGTGACCCAGGCACCCTTGCATGCCACGTAGCCTGACCTCTGCACAGAGATCTTGTTCCTGAGCTGGGCCTGGTTCCCAGCCCCCTGCTGTGTGTAAGAGGCCCACACGCACGTGGCTGCCCTACCCCTGAGAGTCTTTCCTTCTGTTTGTTTTTTAGTTTCTGTGGCAGCACTGTGGAAGGTTTGGTCATGGGGTCAGTTCTTATGTGGCTCACTATAGGGTCGTGATGCTTCCTGAGCTCTGTCTGCTGTGGGGGAGATGTCAGGGGCTGGTGTGATTACAGCAGCATCAGGCTCTAGTGCACTTCCTAGCAAGCAAGCAAAGCTGAGCCCAGGGTGATGCAACCAGGAAGGCCCTACCCCAGTGACTGACCCTGGTGTACCTGCCCCTAGGGTGCTGTCATTCTCCGGGTCCACTGTCACTGTCTTCTGCAGGTGGACACTGCTCTTCTGCTGAAATCTGTTTGCTGGCTTCTTGCCACTTTCACAGTACACACATTTAGTTAGTACTTATTTGCTTAGGGCCTGTGAGGCCTGAGGGTGCCGTATGACAGGGTACTCTGGGTCATCACAGTCTGGAGGCAGGTTGTGAGAAGGAGTGTGGTGATCAAAGCTCAGGGTCATGAGTACTGGCATAGACTGCTTGGTGTCATTGCCCTGTCCACCCCTTTCCTAGGAGGGGCCCGAGGTCAGGCTGGGCTAGGGCAGTTACCATGGAGGAGGTGCAGCTCGGGCCATAGGATGCACAGGGGTGATCCAGGGTGACTATGGGCTCCTGGGCTGCAGGTGCTCAAAGATGAGAACCACAGTGGCTACAGGTAGGTCAGAGGTGGGGCGTTTGTCCTGCAGAAGGGCTGGACACTGTATGGAAATCAGAGTGAAGTCCCAAGGGTTTTTAGCAGGCGTGTGACATGTTCTGATCTGTGAATGACGGCTCCTGTGTGGTTTGAGCATTCCCTGCCCCACCCTACTGGGGTTCTCCATTGCATTCCTTGTCTTGGTCTCAGCCTGTTTTTAGGAGACAGCCCCTGAATTACACCCCTCTGTCCTCTTGTCCCCTGTCCTGGGAAGTGCAGCTGGCAGGCCCCCATTGTTCTGGCTTCTGTGCGCCCCAGCTGGCTCTCCTGCGCCCCCTGCTGGCTCAGGTTGCCCTGCTACAGCCTGAGTCTCCCTCCAACCTTGTCATGACCTGCTTTGGCCCTGTTCTGTTCAGGGTTTTTATAAATGACTTGGCTGACATCTTTGCGAGTGTGCTGATCTCATTTTGGGATGCTGGGAAGATAGAGTCATGATCCAAAAAGATCCCAATGGATGAGGAGGCTAATAGAAGGGTGTACAAGTCCTGGACTTATGGGGGAGAGGTTCAGGCATTTGAAGGTTTGTGCCCAGGACCAGGCAGCTAAAGCCCAAATAAGCTGAGCCTTGAAAAAATGCTGAAAGCACCTCAAATCCCACTTTTTTGTTTATATTATAAAAAAATTGAAACATACAAGTAGAAAGAGAGCATTATAGTCAAAAATGTGTATTTGTGGATGTGCCCCCTTGAGAAGCGAGATGGGTTTCCTATAAACTGTACATGATGGATGGATCAAATCTCCATCCCCCAATGCCAACAAAGATGTGAACTCAAAACCGTTCCTGTACCTCACAGAGCAGGAGGAGTACCTGACATACGTCAAAAAAGAGTCAATGTTTCACTATGATTGTAATGAGGAGCCTGGACAGATAGATTTTGGGGGTTTTGTGGCAGGGTTTGGAGGCTGCTGTCAGGTAGGCATTGAATTTTAAAATATTTATGCTCCCTTCCAACTCTGTGATTCAGTATCCCATCTTAGGAAGCAAACTGTATGCTATAAAATTAGTTATTATTTTCAAATATAAATTTAAGAGTTTTTGGAGAAAATCCCATGGTGGATTCTATGTATTTGACAGATATAATGTGTTTTTTTTTTTCGAGACAGAGTCTCACTGTGTCGCTCTCGGTAGAGTGCCATGGTGTCACAGCTCATAGCAACCTCCAACTCTTGGGCTTAAGTGATTCTCTTGCCTCAGCCTCCCAAGTAATTGGGACTACAGGTGCCAGCCATGATGCCCGGCTATTTTTTTTGTTGCAGTTATTGTTGTTTAGCAGGCCCAGGCCAGGTTCGAACCTGCCACCCTTGGTGTATATGGCCAGTGCCTCACCACTGTGCTACGGGCATTGAGCCCGATGTAATGTATTTTTGAATGTCAGCCAGTATTAGTTTGGTATGTAATACAGTGTAATACAGTTTATAGGTAAGTTGAGTTGCTAGGTATTATTTATGTCTATGTATCTAAAGTTCGTGCATTTTCAAGACATAAAAGTACATATATTCTTTTGGCTGTAATATCTTTTACCATTTGTTTCAATAACTTAAATCTAGTTTGTTGTAAAGTGATGCCTTATTATTGGTGATCCTTTCAAGTAAAGACATTAGATAATTTTAGGTGGAAGAGTAAAATATATTAGTGTAGGTTAGTAAAAAAGCTACCCACAATTTTTTTTTTTTTTTTTTTTTTGAGACAGAGTCTCAAGCTATTGCCCTGGGTAGAGTGCAGTGGCATCACAGCTCTCAGCAGCCTCCAACTCTTGGGCTTAAGCAATTCTCTTGCCTTAGCCTCTCAAGTAGCTGGGACTACAGGGGCCCACCACAATGCCTGACTATTTTTTTGTTGCAGTTGTCATTGTTGTTTAGCAGGCCCAGGCCGAGTTCAAACCCTCCAGCCTTGGTGTTTGTGGCCGGCACGCTACCCACTGAGCTACAGGTGCTGCATAACCACAGATATAACCTTTAATGGCTCAGTCCATTGAAGGTTTATTTTCTTTCTTTTAAAATTAAATGATAGCTGTGTACATTAATGCAGTCATGGGGTACAGTGTGGTGTTTTCATATACAATTTGAAATATTTTCATCAAACTGTTTAGCATAGCTTTCATGTCATTTTCTTAGTTATTGTGTTAACACGTTTATATTCTACTCTTAGAAAGATTCACTTGTACCCTTGTAAGATAAACCACAAGAAGTGATCCCTCCAATCATCCTCCCTCCCCCTCTACCCCCCTCCTCCCTCTCCATATTCTTAGGTTATAATTAGGTTATAGTTTTTACATGAAAGCTATAAATTAGTTTCATAATAGGGCTGTGTACAATGGATACTTATTCTTCCGTTCTTGTGATACTTTGCTAAGAAGAACATTTTCCAGCTCCATCCATGTAAAGATGAAGGACGTTAAGTCTCCATCCTTCTTTATGGCTGCATAGTATTCCATGGTGTACACATACCACAGTTTGTTAATCCATTCATGGATCAGTGGGGACTTAGGCTTCTTCCATGACCTGGTAATTATGAATTGGGCTGCAATAAACATTCTGATAGAGATATTTTTGTTGTAATGTGGTTTTTGGTCTTCTGGATAAATACCTAATAAAGGGTTTATTTTCTTCAGTTCAGTGCAAGTCCTCAGTTAGAGGTGGAGGACTCTACTCCATGTGGTCATTCAGGGACTTATGCTCTTTCCATCCTGTGTTCTTGCAGCTGGTCAACTTGGCCGCCAAGGGCTCTGCAGAATGGAAACAGCACTTATTTTTATTTTTATTTATTTATTTTTTTGAGACAGCCTCAAGCTATCCCCCTAGGTAGAGTGCCGTGGCATCAAAGCTCACAGCAGCCTCCAACTCCTAGGCTCAAGAGAGTCTTCTGCCTCAGTCTCCCAAGTAGCTGGGACCACAGGCGCTCACCACAACACCTGGCTATTTTTTGATTGCAGCCGTCATTGTTGTTTGGCGGGCCCGGGCTGGATTCGAACCTGCTACCTTAGGTGTATGTGCCTGGCGCCTTAGCGGCTTGAGCTACAGGTGCCAAGTGGGAAACAGCAATTATTATTTTTATTTTTTAAATGTGCCAGAACTAAATCACTGAACGGCAGGGGAGGCTGGGAAATGGAGCTTGGCTGTGTGCTCAGAGAGGGCGAGTGAAGGCAGTTTGGCAATAGGCAGCATTATCTTCCCCACAGAGTAGTGGCGGAGTGGGTGCTGCTGCCCGTTCCACAGGCCTGGGGCTCCTTGGTGCCTTTCCCCCTAGCTGGACCATGAGGCCACGTGGGAAAGCAGTGTGCTGGGGAATAAACTGGAGGCTGGGGAGCCAGGCTGGTGCCTCGGGGATTGTGTGAGTGAGGGAGAGTTTGTGCAGACCTCATACTGGTGGTGCTGATGGATGGAGAGATCCCACAGGCCCGAGGAACCCTTTCTGAAGGCAGAGTCCCTTCGGTAGAGGGGAGTGTATCTCACTATTCTTCTGAACTCCTGTGAGGAATTAAATAAGAGTATATGTAGGGTGCATGCTCATGGTTATTTACAAACAGACTCTGCCTCAGATGCAAAGCCAGCTCAAAAGGAGGGATGAGTAGCTGGGATCAGTTATAGTATTACTGAGTTGTAAATAATTCAGATTTATCTGATAAAAGAAAAGCATAGTCATTTCGAGTTTGCTGAAACCCTTGTCTTGTCTCAGTAGTGGAGCAGGAGTCCGATAGGACTAAAGAGGCAGACGGTACTGAGCTGCTGCACCACAGGTCTGGACTGTCCCGGGCTGGGCCGAGGGGGTGAAGTTAAGGTATTCTTAAAGCAAAAAGCTTGGACGACTAATTTAAAATGAAACCCACCAATCAAAAAACAGGAAAAAAAATAGAAAACCCTGCTCCCTACAATGGAGGCTTTGCCTTGTGGGTCTGAGCATGGCTGAGGCCAGACTATCTGGGTTCGATTCCTAGGTACTCTACTTTTTTAGTAATGAAACCATAGACAAATTATTTAGCCACCCTAAATCTACAAAATGAGGCTAAAATTGTACCTGTGTCATAGGGTTTTGAGGATCAAATGTGTCCCTTAGGGATGTGTTCTGAGAGGTGCGTCTATAGGTGATTTTGTCACTACATGGACATCATTGAAGATGCTTCTGCAAACCCAGGTGGCTACCCCTGACCGTGTGATAGCGCATGCTGTTCTCAAGCTACAGGGCTGTATAGCCTGTGACTGTACCCAGGACTGTAACAGTTGGAACACAGCTATGAGTTTTGAGTGTCTAAACTTAATCTAACCTTAGAAAAGGCCAAGTAAAAATACAGCTTTATACTCTTACAGACCAGCATCGTGTGTGTGGTTTGTCATTGATGAAATGTTAGCTCTGTGTGTGCATGGCTGTATCTGTCCTTAACATACCTAAAACAGAGCCGGTTCCCTGCAGCCCTCACGTAGCTGAGATGCTCAATGTAGCACCTGGCTCAGATGGTGCTTGGTTTAGGTCAACTGCTGTTGCTGGCATTATAATACTAAAGATTCAGTAGAAATTACAGTTAATCATTTGCTATCCGTACGAAGTCCCGCTTCCCTTTCCCTTAGAACAGTGGTTCTCAACCTTTCGTTGTGTAGCAATGAAAATAATTTTATGGTTGGGGGTCCGTGTAACATGAGGAACTATATTAAAGGGTTGTGGTATCAGGAAGGTTGAGAACCACTGCCTTAGAACATATAACAACTCAGAACATCAAACCCCAAGGAGGTCCAGATAAGGATTAATAAACCATCAGGGGTGGAAAAAGGCTCTTTGTGGAAGGGCGAGGAGACAGGTTCCAGCAGGGGAAAGTCAGCCAAGTCTGCCAAATCCCAGGCTGGGTGGGAGGGGAGGAGGCCCTTGAAGAGCTGGTTTTCAGAGGGGAGCTGAGCTGTTCCAGCAGAGGGTGGGACGTCTGTGGATCTCATTCTAGGTCAGTGGTTCTCAACCTTCCTAATGCCGCGAGCCTTTAATACAGTTCTTGTGGGTCACGGCCCACAGGTTGAGAACCGCTGTTCTAGGTGGAAAAGGAGGAGGAAGGTTGATTTGAGGAGGGTGTTAGGCCAGATGCCGTGAGTAGCCGTGAGAATGCTGGTGCCATTGGAGGTGTGCCACATGTCGCCAGGCCGGAACGGGACGGTGGCACATCACAGCTGGGCCGACCGGAGATGTTCTCGCTCTTTTGCTTTCACTTTAGGGACATGTCTTGCTAAGGGTCTTAAGTCAGTGGCACTCTTGGCATCAGGATTCTGGTCTGCACCGTGCACTCTGTGAATCCCTGTTCCCACCCAGAGATGTCTGTGATCCTCTCGGGCCCGACTGCAGAGTCCTGCTGGCCACTGGCACGTTCCTTTGTGCCCAGTCTTGTCTTACCAGGGAGTGAGTCCTAAGCAGCTTTCCATCCATCCTACTTGACACGGCTCTGCCAAGATGGAAAGGGTGCAGGGCTGCCGTCCGGGGCTTATGTCTGAGCATCTGAAACCTAGTAAAGCCCTTGTAATCCCTGACCCTGAGGGCTTCTGAGAAATTCGGATTGAATTCTTACTTATTTTTTAAGACAGAGTCTTACTCTGTGGCCTGGGTTAGAGTGCTGTGGCAATAGCCTAGCTCATGGCAACCTCAAATTCCTGGGTTCAAGCGATCCTCCTTCCTCAGCCTCTTGAGTAGCTGGGATTACAGGCACCCACCACAATGCCTGGCTAGTTTTTCTGTTTTTAGTAGAGACAGGGTCTTGCTCAGGCTGGTCTCGAACTCCTAAGTTCAGTTAATCCACCTGCCTCAGTCTTGGAAAGTACGAGGATTACAGGTATGAGCCAGTGCACCTGGCTGACTTGGCAGTCTTAGCAGGACAGTGAGTTGGTCCTGTTGATTGATTCTTCCCTTGCTGCTTGGCTACTCCTTGGGTTTGGTTATGTAACGGAATTTTGTTTTTTCCTGTTGAATTGAACAGATCACGATGGGAAAGGGTCTCCTGTGTTCACTGGGGAGGTCGACTGCACCTACTTCTTCACGTGGGACACGAAATATGCTTGTGTCAAAGAGAAGGAGGACCTCCTCTGCAGTGCCACCGACGGGAGGCAGCGCTACGACCTGTCCGTGCTGGCCCGACACTCAGGTAGTGCTCTTCTTGACAGGGGCCTAAGTGCACTCGTGGGACGCTTTCTCATGAATGAGATGCTTTGGGAGATGCTGTTTCTTTGGCTGTCAGCTAACTGGGTTACAGCCCCCATTCCTTTTTCCTCTTTCCTGGAGGCTGAATGATTAGAACAGCATGTAATTGGGTAGTGGAATACTTGAACTTGATACCAGCATTACTATTTTCTAGTTGTGTTTCCATGGGCTAATCTTACCACAGTTTAGTGAAAACTACCTCAGCACTTACAGAGGGTCAGGTACTTACTTTTTTTTTTTTTTTTGAGACAGGGTTTCATTATGTCGCCCTTGTTAGAGTGCTGTGACATCACAGCTCGCAGAGTTTGAACTCTTGGGCTCAAACAATTCTCTTGTCTTAGCCTCCCAAGTAGCTGGGACTACAGGCGCCCACCACAACACCCGGCTATTTTTTGTTGTAGTTCTCGTTGTTAGTTAGCTGGCCTGGGCCGGGTTTGAACCTGCCAGCTTCAGTGTATGTGGCTGACGTTATAATCACTGTGCTACAGGTGCCAAGTCAACTTTATTTCTTGAACTTCAGTTCTTACGTCAGCCTTCCAGGAGGTGGTATTCCCATTTGACATAGAAGCTGGGAGGCTGAGGTGGAGCTGGGGTTCAGCTTAAATCTTTTGTCCTTGTGAGTTCACTCTTCGACACCTCACCTCTTCCCCATCAGTGAAATGAGGTCTGCATTCCCTCCCCCTCATTGTTCTGTGAGGACCCTGTACCCTTGGGCCACTGTTCAGTGCTACCAGGTAGCCGTCTTCTCAGCAGGACCTGCTGCCTTCAGGGGCTTGGAATTTAGCAGGAAACCGAGAAGGTGGAATGATAAGTAAGAGTGGGAACTTCTGACTGGGGGGAGGGTCTGGTTTTAACCCTTCAGCAGCCCCGGAATTAGGTGTTTAGGGGCCAGTTACCTCTCTCCAAGGCAGAGAGAAAGACCTGCTTCACTTAATTGCTTCTCAAAAAAGTTACCTAATTACCATTTGTGACAGGATTGCTGCTCAGATCTGCTTAGTCCCATGTAGTTTGGAAAGGACAGTGTAGGAGGAGGAATCCCTCTTGGTGTGGAGGGAGCTCTCCTGAGAATGCTCGCGTTGTGGTTAAATTCTGGTGTGTGTGCTGAAGAAGAAATTGGTTGGTTTTCTGTGAAGTGGGAAGAGCTCTGGCCTGGGAATCAGAGCCCTTTCAAGGACTGTGCATCCCGTGACGTTTGCCCAAGTGAGCTGCCCTCTGCGCCTGAGCACTGGCAGTAGGCCCAGCAGTCACGGCAGGACCCTGCAGTTACCTTTTTTTTAAAACATCACTGTGCACAAGACAAAACTTAAGATCTGTGAGTGACTAAGATACAGGTTATTCACTCAAAGACCTTTGACCCAGATCTGGTTCTCTGAGAATCTGAAATATTTTGTAGCATTTGTGTGTAGATAGCCCCAGCCCCAAGGAAGCCCTGAGAGGGGAGATAAGCCCTTTCCTGCTGCCTGAACAAGTCCCGTTTGAGGACTTCACTCCCTGTCCCCCAGGCTGGGCCAAGCTTTCCACATCTGGGCCCACTCCCTGTTAGATGCGCTGTCTTCCATGGTCTCTGGTAGGCTGTTCACGTTTGAATATAGTTCTCCATAAGTGCGGGCTCACCACTCAGGAGTTTGGGGGGTTTTGGCTTCTAAACCCCAGTTTCAACCTGCAAAGGAGCATTTTCACGTGAGGACATGTACGTTTAACTCTTCATGTCCTCTGCCACGGAGTCCTGGTTCCTGCTATGGCCCCAACACCCAGTGTGTGCTCCCTCACCTCGCCCAATGTCTGCTCACCTTGACTGGCCTCGGGATCTCAGACCAGACGGATCTTATCTTCTGTGGCACCAGATGTCTCGCCCTGCACTCCCTCTGCATCTGTGCACCAGGTTGACGGTTTCTCTCAGCTGCATCGGCCTTCCCCGAGGTCGAAGCCTGTGTGTTGTCTGTGACCTGCCACTCTGCCGGGTCCCAGGACACGGGCTGTCTTCCTTGTGGTTGTTAGGTTCTGATTTTATATTGTGCGACCTGGAAGAATTCTGTTCAATTCTCTATTCCCCCCCATTGAAACTACTTTTCTGATGAAGTATTGGGGTGTTGTTTCTGTCACATTAAATGAGAAATCTGAGAATCTCTGAATTTCTGGGCCTTCAGCCTGCCCAGATTCCAGAAGCCTGTTTGCTGGGGGTTGAGTCTCCAGCCTGCTGAGCTATGGGCCCTTGACCTTGGGCTTGCATACCATTTAAGTGTGACTCACAGAGAAGTCATCATCGCCTTTGGCTAAAAGAAACTTTTTTTCTTTGTCACAGAACCAGAACAGAATTGGGAAGCCGTGGACGGCAGCCTGACGGAAACAGAGAAGAAGCACTTTTTCATTAACGTCTGTCACAGAGTGCTGCAGGAGGGCAAGGCGAGAGGCTGTCCCGAGGAGGCCGCGGTCTGCGCAGTAGGTGAGTGGCGCCAGAGGGAAGGGAAGGTCTGGGGGAGCCTCTCAGGGAGGCATGCTGTGCCCTGTTTGGAGTGAGCTAGAAAATTCTCCCGTGGTTTTTCTATTATGGGGATTCAGCATAGAAAGGTGGTAAAAGATTTTTTTAATGACTTAAATGTTGGTGACTGCTTGATGCACTCAGCAGTCGGCTGAAGTCTTCTGAGTTTGGCTAAAGCCATAACTGGGAGCAGAAAGGGCCACGCTGGAAAGTACTTTGTCATCTTTTCGGTTTCTGGCCTGACAAATAACATTGCCAGGACTTGTGTGAAGCCAATTTCAATTCTTTAAATGTTACTGCCTGGAGTTGTTCACAAGTGGACTCTCCGCTGTAGCCTTTGTCAAAAAGTGCTTGCTCCCCAGGCCCCTGTGCTCTGTCCCATAGTTGTCTTGTGGAGACTTCTCCATGAGCCAGCACATACGTTGTTTTTCGTTTAAGACACAGCTTGAAAATGCCAGGCAGTGAGAGTAATGAGAATCTATTATATTACAAACATTCAATAAGGAATTATGAGCCTTGGCTGGATATTTAGGGATTATCCCAATATTCAAAGCGGGTTCAGACATGTCCTTGTCTTTACTTAAGAGCTTTGGAAGAGAGTTTTAATACTTCATAGTAAAAATTAACTGATCCAAGAGGTAAGCGGCCACTTGCTCAGGCTGCTGACCAGGTTTAGTTTCCACTTTGGTCATGAGACAAACTCTGACCTTGGCTTTCAAAGGACTCTGTGTCCCAGGGTAGCCGAGGCCCTGAAAGTGGGGTGTCGTGTCACTGTACAGATGGTGATGATGCATGGGTGGCTGTTTGGTCCCTTGTGCCCTTGGAGGACCTTGTGTATTATTCATGGTACTTTCCTGCTAAGCCTACAGATGGCCTTGAAGGCCCCAGTGCATCTGTCACTGCCCTAATGTGACACTCAGGAAAACCCACTGAGCTGGCAGCGATGGCTCATGCCTACGATCCCAGCAAGTTAGGATTGAGTTTGAGACCTGGGCAACATAGTGCTCGCCCCCCAGCTCTACGGAAGTAATAATAAGCAAAAGAAGACCCACTGACTGCTGCAGTGGGCTAGGTAGCTGGAGAGGGGCTGTGGAGCACCCGTCAGTCTGGGCTGGTGTTCCCCCACTGTTCGTGTCGTCATTTTAACCATGCCTCTACTCCCCCCCTTCACTTTCTGTTTTACAGATAAGAATGGAAGTAAAAATCTGGGAAAATTTGTTTCTTCTCCTACAAAAGAGAAAGGAAACATTCATCTTTCTTATTCAGATGGTGATGATTGTGGTGACGGCAAGAAAATAAGAACTAATATCTTACTTGTGTGCAAGCCAGGTAAAAATTAAAGGATGAAATCTTATATTGGGTTTGCCGAGGTCCTGCGTTCTTCACTGGGGTCACTGCGAGGTGATCGGCTGGCTGGGGTGGTGCTGAGCTTCGCTGGTTCCTGGGCATTTTGGGTTCCACACTCTCCAGTGGTAGGAGATGCATCAGTTGGATTCCCTGCCATCTCCCACCCCGAATCAACCCTGAAACGGAGCAACCAGATGGGGTCCAAAGGAAGCTGGGAATCGTAGTATGGCATCCTCTTCCTAGGGAGGGATGCGGCTCAGTCATCTGGCTTGCTTCACTTCCTCCAAAAAAAGGGGAAAAAGTCCTAAGTCATAAATGGTTTCAAAATGTTGCCCGTGATCCTGTCATTTAAACACAATGCCAATTCTCATTTCCTTTATTTTGGGCATATGTTGTTGTTACCGAGACAAAATTTGTGTGTATTCATCTATTAATAATGTTCCTCAAAATGTAGTATTTCGTTAACACTCTTCTGTGTTTCAGAGCTCTATTTATAATTTTTGGAGACTTCCTTGTTGGTTGCCGTGTGGTTTTACTGTTTTTAGATATTTCCCTATTGTTGGATCGCTGGTGTGTTTCCAGCGTTGGCATTGTGTTTTCACAGACCTGCTCTCTGCCTCTCCTTGCGATATTTCCTTTGGATAAGTTCCCAGCTCTGGGATGAGGTCAAAGGCTAGGAGTATTTCTATTTTGTGTTTTTTATGCATGGTAAAATATTTATAACATTTACTGTTTTAAAAAATCATGATGAAATATGCATAACGTACAATTTACCATTGTAATTGTTTTTTAAGTACACAGTTCAGGCTCGGTGCCTATGGCTCAAGTGGCTAAGGCGCCAGCCATGTACACCCAAGGTGGTGGGTTCGAATCCAGCCCGGGCCCGCCAAACAACAATGTCGGCTGCAACCAAAAAAAATAGCCGGGCATTGTGGCAGGCGCCTGTGGTCCCAGCTACTTGGGAGGCGGAGGCAGGAGACTCGGTTGAGCCCAGTAGTTGGAGGTTGCTGTGAGCTGAGATGCCATGGCACTCTACCCAGGGGGACAGCTTGAGGCTCCTGTCTCAAAAAAAAAAAAAAAAAAGTACACAGTTCAGTGGCATTAACCCCCCCCCCATTGTACAGTCACAACCACCTTTCCTAACCTGATGCTCTTAGCCCCATCAAACGCTGCCTCCTCACTGCCCCCACCCTGAATCCTCCGTCCCACTGTCTGTCTCCACAGATAAGTGCACCCTTCTGGTATCTGTGGACCATTTTTTGACCTTTGGTGTGTTGCCCTGCGTTTCTCACTGCCCCTTCCAAATCTGTCTTTAAGAGAGTAAGAAAGAGGTAAGATTTTTAAGAACTGATTGATTCGTGATTTCTTTTTTTTCTCCATTGACAGGTGATCTGGAAAGTGCTCCAGTGTTGAGAACTTCTGGGGCCGGTGGCTGCTTCTATGAGTTTGAGTGGCACACGGCTGCTGCCTGCGCGCTGGCTAAGGTGGAGGGAGAGAACTGCACCGTCTTCGACTCCCAGGCAGGTGTGTGTCTGAGCAGCACCTCTGTGGGGTAGCGTGGTAGGAGATGCATCAGTTGGATTCCCCCCCAATCCCTTGCAACCACTGGAGGTGTTTCCTAAACATTCTCTGTGAGGGTTTTTAGAGATAACCTGCTTTAGTATTTTATGAATGCCAGTTTAACAAAATTTCGAAAATCTGATGCTTGGGCTTATTTGAGATATTGGAAATACTATCTTGATCACTGTTGATGTAGGTTTGCTGAATGCAAAACCTTAAGAGCACAAGGGAATAAATCATGTCTGAAAGGCTTGTCGCATGAACTCTAGCCATTAAGCTGCCTTGGAGGGACTTTTCAGGAAAGACATTATGTCGTGGTCATTTTACTTTGAACGTACAGGTTGTTTATTAGACTGGCAGTTATGGGCTTGGCATAAGGTTTTAGCCTAAGGCAGTAAAAGGGAATGGCAGTGTGACTCTGCCTCCCATGGAAACATTGGTCACTGTGGCTCTGGTGGCCTGCAGGGGACAGTGTTTTCCTGCTAGTGTGAAGCCTTTGGGAAGAATGGCTCTCTTTGAAACTGTGGGGTGAGGTCACCCTGTTGGTCAGTTCTGCCTGACCTTATCTCCTTCTGTTGTTTGTATTCTCACTTAGGGTTTTCTTTTGATTTGTCACCTCTCACAAAGAAAACTGGTGCCTATAAAGTTGAGACAAAGCAGTATGACTATTACATAAACGTCTGTGGTACCTTATCTGTGGACTCCTGTCAGCCGGGCTCCGGGGCCTGTCAGATATCCAAAAGGCAAGTTGGTTTTCAGTTTGGGGTTTATTATTAGGTGTTTTGTGTTAACTGTTATTTTATTCAGGAATAGGTGTGTTCTCATCTAAGGTCATTGCTTTATGACAAGCATTGAAACATGGATAAAACCTGACCTAAAAACTGGTAGGAGTTTAATTTCCCACAAAAGAAGCAAGCTGCATCCATGGGACAGAAGATTTGGCTTCTGTCATACCTGACTCAGGTGGGCGGTGCCCTCTCCTGCAACTGCAGAGCAGAGGGGCCCCCAGGGTCTGCACCCATGGGTCTGTGAGCGGCCTGGTGGCTAAATACAGTGCTCACTGGCCCTCCCATCACAGCCGCAGCTTCAGAATGTTCCTGCTCCTCTGAGGTTTGCTGAGAGAAATTTGTGTGTTTATTTTAGTGATAGGAGGACCTGGAACTTGGGCCTGAGTAATGGCAAACTCTCGTATTATGACGGGATGATCCAATTGAACTACAAAGACGGCACGCCCTATAACAATGAGAGACACACACCGAGATCCACCCTGATCACTTTCCTCTGTGATCGAGAGGCTGGAGTAGGCATCCCTGAGTATCAGGTAGGAAGCTGACACCTGCCATGTTCCCTGGGGACATGCGAGCCTCTTGTGGACCCTTCATTTAGATACAGACCTATTTTTACTCTGGGTTTCTGGCCAAATTGTCACCATAATTAGTCCTTTTAAGACTCGCCAGGGCACTGAGGCAGTGTTTGCCTTTTAGCTGCTTATTTGGTAGACTGTATACCTCCACAATAGCCCCCAAGCCTGTCGGTGTAGGAACAAAGATGCAAAGGCATCCTTTATCCTACTTGACAAAGACTAAATTTCCATCTTAATTTGTTACTGGGCAATCTACCTTTCCATAGCGGCTCACTTTACCTTTCCTTCACACGGTTATTGTGTTCTGAGTGCCTGTGGCCTGTGATGCATCTGCTGCTAGTTGCACAAACCCCCATTCTGTACTGTTTTGCGATTAGGAAGAGGATAACTCCACCTACAACTTCCGGTGGTACACCAGCTATGCCTGCCCAGAGGAGCCGCTGGAGTGCGTGGTGACTGACCCCTCCACACTGGAGCAATATGACCTCTCTAGGTGAGGGGTCAGCTGTTCTGATCTCTGGTTCATTGCAGGTGCTGGGGTCATGGGCAGTGCCGATGAGCATGTGGCTGAGCTGGTGATGAGGGCGCAGGGCTGAGACAGATGCTTTAAGCAGCATGAATTCTAATAATGGCCTGAGGGCCTTTGTCGCATCAGCTGTCCTTGCCATGGCAAAGCTTCTGTTGTTAGCTTTGTCATTTACTGTTACTGCCAGTACAGAGACGTGGGGGAGGGTTTAGGGACCGTTGCGCGCTGAGGGGAGTGAGGGTCAGGCCAGCCACACTCTCGAAGCTTCTGGTATCTTCCCTACCAGAAATTCATTTTCATGCTGAAATGTGTAAGCCCTTCAAGGCATAACATTTTGCTTTGAAATTTTAGTCTAGCAAGATCTGAAAGTGGGCGTGGAGGAAACTGGTTCGCCATGGACACCTCAGGGGAGCATGTCACCTGGAGGAAGTACTACATAAACGTGTGTCGGCCGCTGAGCCCAGTGCCCGGCTGTGACCGGTACGCCTCAGCGTGCCAGATGAAGTATATAAAAGATCAGGTGAGCCTCTTCCCTGCCTGTCTCGTCTCATCCGCCCCCCTCCTTGCATGGTTAGTGGGTGGAAGCAACTCGCTACTTTTGGATGCCCAGAGCAAGGCAGGCCTGGCTGACCCCAGAGAAAGCCCTCTGAGCAAGGGGGGCTCCCTGAAAACTGATCTGCCTTCAGGCAGATAAATATGATACTCAAATCATTGTTCACATTTAAAATTTGGAAATTTCCCTGGTTTTGGTGACCTCTAATCAGGTAAAAGGTGAAGAAGTGCCCTGATGGCTGTCTCTAGCCAGAAGCCAAAGTGTTTTTGAGTGCTTTAGCAGGTATCTACAACAAGATTTTCTAGATAAATTAGGGGAAAACCCTGCTTCAGGTGAGTTGCTGTGGGCAGACTAGGCCTACGCGTTGAGTTCTCACTTTAGAGGCTGGGCCACACTTCTCCACTGTTCTGATTTAGTCGCTGCCAGGACTGTGCTCACTGGCCTGTGGCTGTGGCACACAGTGGATTTTACACATGTCTGTGTGCTCCGGATGTTGGCTTCTATAAAACAGCATGTCAGAAATGTACTTTTCCTGGCATATGTTAATTGTGGCTTGGGGATTTTTTTTTGAAGGAAGATGGCAAGATTACTCGGGGTTAATGAGCTTCTGGTTGGGTGCACCTGTGCGCAAGTGTCGTGCTTGGAGCACTGACCTCACGGTATAGCCAGTCCTCACTTCTCATGGAATCTGTATCTGTGAAGGTGCCTTCTTGCTCACATTTGCAGCCCCCAGATCAGTACGTGGCGTCTTTCTGAGTCATTCTCAGATGTGCATAGCAGCCCAGTATGTGTGTTCCTAGTTGAGGCTGAACAAGGCAACGCTGTGCCCTCTCATTTTGACCTCAGAGCAAGGTGACCAGAGGATGGAGAGGGTGGGGCCGGGCAGGGCAGTCCAGAGCTTTGCTTCTGGGACCAGTGGGATGGGGTCTGAGTTCCTACTCTGGCACCAGTTAGTGGGGTGGCCTCAGGTGAGTCACTTAACGTTTCTGAGCCTTTTTTCCCCCTACCGTGAAATAAAGAAAATAGAATCTGTCAGCATGAGTTGTTTTCAGGATTGAGGCTGATAGCCTTCACGAAATAATGTGTGTCTGTGTGTGTTACACAGCGCCCCACTGAAACAGTGGTTCAGTGTTTGACAATTTGTTTGCTGTAGCTTCTGCTACAGATTGTAACTACCATCAACAATGACTCAACTATTAGTAAAGAAAAAGTCAGTTTTCAGAGAGAAAAGACTAACAAAGCAATTTTGGTGCAGGATTCCTTTGCTGAAACAGTCTCCATCAGTAACCTGGGAATGGCAAAGTCAGGCCCTGTGATTGAGGAGAGTGGCAGCCTCCTCCTGGAGTATGTGAACGGCTCTGCCTGCACCACCAGCGATGGCAGGCTGACCACCTACACCACCAGGATCCACCTCGTCTGCTCCCGGGGCAGCCTGGTAAGGCGCTGCTGGCCATGGCCACAGTTGCTCTGGGTTCTCTTTTGATTAGGTACCACGTAATATGTCTCCTCACAGTGACGACTGTGTCCTGGGCTGGGTGGAGGAGTTATGTTGGTCTTTACTCTGCTTACAGCCAACGTGTGGGTGCGAGCAGGCAGGTGGGGTGTAAGGGGCAGCTCTGTGGCTGTGGTTTCTGAAGCTTAAACCTCATCCTCTGCCGTGGAGCCTGAGCCTTTGGTGTGCTGTACACTGTGTGGTGTCCTGTAGATGTGGGTTTCCCTTTGAGGTGGACAGGCCCCGTCTTGCTGTTAGTTCTTGATGATCTGAGGATTGCAGCAGTGGGACAGGTCTGAAAAGGTCCTGCGGGGGTCAAGGGAAAACGTCCCCTTTGTCTTCTGGAAGTTTGCTGAAAACCAGCTGACAGAAGGTAGGTTAGCAGGAGACGAGGCACACACAGTGTTATTTTAATGTACGTAGCTCAGGGACCACCCAGGAACCCAGCACAGCACAGAAGCTTATAGGGAGGGGGGACATGGAGAACTTAGAGAATTCTTTTGAGGGGCCACAGATGATTACTAGGGACTAAAATTAACTTGTCAGTGATTCGCTTTGGAATTTGAGTAAGGCCAAGATGCAGGTGTTATCTTGTGAGAAAGTCCTCCACATGTGGTTAGGTTCCTGTTTTTTGTAATGTGACAGACAAAATGAGGTTTGGGGCAGGGAGTTGTGCCCACACTTCCGCAGGCTGACAGCGGACTTCTTGGTTAGGGACTGAGCCCTAGTTTTAATCCTTTTTTTTTTTTTAACCTCTCTAAGTTGTCTGTAAGCATTTTTAGTCATCTAAAACAGAACGATTGCCAGCCAGGAATGTTGTATCCTGCAAAATTATGTTTCATAAATGATGGAGAAATAAGGACTTTCCCAGCCAGGCTCATTTCTCTCCATGTCTGATCTTCTGGCATCAACAATGAGGAAATATAATTTAATGCTGAGTGTGATTTAACTACAGGATAAATCATTGCTTATTTATCCTATTTATTGACTAATTATAATTGGATCAACATTGGGCTGTTGGATCAATATTAAGCTGTCAGATTAGCCAGAAATAGAAGAGAAAGGACTCAAATAAGTTCGATCAGAAAGGAAAAAGATATGACAGCTGATAACACTGAAATACCAGATACAATCTGCAGATACTACAAAAACTTCAACTAGGAAATGTGGAGGAAGTGGATGGATAAATTCCTGGGAGTGCACAACCTCCCACGCCTGAGTCAGGAAGAAACAGAAATCCTGAACAGACTGATAACAAGCAGTGAGGTTGAAGCAGTAATAAAAAATAAAATGAAGTTTCAGGAATGGGATGGAAGGCAATTGTGTTGCTTTTGGAAAGAAGTATTTTTGGCCAGGTGAGGAAATTCCAGAGAGAGTCTCTCCCGGTGTTTGGGGTATGGGGGAAGAACAAGGCGGGGTTCAGAGGACCTGGAAGCAGTGTCTAAGGTCTTTTAGCAACGGTCCAGTCTTTGGGTATCACTTTCTGAGCCCCAGTATCCTAAACCCTGAAGTCCATAGATGAGGAAGCGGAGGGTTTGTGTGGCTCAGGCCATGAGTGAAAATGAAGGATATGTGCATAAAATGAAATAGGAATAAAGTAGGAATAAGAAATGGTGGCTGAGAAGTAGAGGAAGGGATTGGGTCACTCTGGGCCCTGAGATACTCAGCCTGGGGTGAACAGCAGAGAAAACTGCATAAAAATGCTTTGGGCTCATTCTGTACAGGCTCAATTGCTTCTCTGTTAAAACTGTTAAAATATCTATGACATGAAATTGACCATTTTTGGCTTAGAGACATGAAGTGCATTTAGTACATCCATCACCAGTATCCATTTCCGGAACTTTTTTAGTATCTCAAAACCAATTGCTTTATTTCATGGAGTTTTAGGTTTATACAAGGGTCATGCATTTTTGGGAAACTACCAGATGGTGAGGGAAATCTAGAGTGGAACTACTGGAAGTCACATTCATTAGCAGCTAAATCATTCACAGCCCACTTGGGTAGGGGTTTATCTTGGCCTTGTCCAGCTTCCCTGAAGTCACCTGGCTGAGTCCCTCTGGAGCCAGCTTACAGCTCCCAGCCACTGTGTCATTTGGTGACATACTATTTTTAATAAGAGCTGCTTTCTCTAGAGTCCAAAGAGAGCTCTTTTGTCCACTGAAGAATCATGAGATCCCTAAATTTGGAAAGGGACCCTTACTTGTCATGGGGCCTGCATCTTGCAGGCTGGGAAGTCACAGACAGACGATGAGAGTGAGTCCTTGGAGGGAGGGATAAAGGGACAGGAATTTGTAATTTGTGCTAAGTAGGATGGGGCCAAGAGTCTGTATTTTACAAGTCGCAGTCCTGAGTATTAATGGAAGGAGAAGCAAGCCCACGGACACTTGGACTTCATATTGCCTCACTGGTCTCATGCTCAAAAGACAGTTGCATTTCCATGATCCGCAGGTGAAGATTTTGTCCCTGTGATGTGAAAGGTGACACAGAGGATCCAGAGACCTCTGTGTGCAGCAGCTTCAGTAGACTGGTCAGAGCCAGTCTGTGGTCTCTTATTAGGAAGGAATGCTGGTCAGTTGTGTCAAAACAGCAAAAGTCTAGTATGTTAAAAAAACAAAAAAAATAGGTCGGTGCTTGTGGCTCAAAGGAATAGGGTGCTGGCCCCATATACCGGAGGTGGTGGGTTCAAACCTGGCCCTGGCCAAAAACTAAAAAAACAAACAAACAAACAAAAAAACAAAATCCAGAAACCTCAAAAGTCACGAGGCAGTCAGAGGTTATTATCTGTTTAGGCCTCGGGGAAGAAAGGCTGAGGGCAGTTAACGCAAGTACCTCCCATACCGGTGGCCAAGAACTCAGTTTTTAAGGTTTCCCTGGGGTCCCCTTGGCCAAGAGGGGGTCTGTTCAATGAAGTAGGAGGTGCTTAGGGATTTATTTTTATTTCTCTCGGGCAGGGGTGTGAGATGATGAGCTGGCTGGGCAGGGTCTGTGCTCTGTGAGGACGGTGCACTGGCCTGAGTTTGTGCACACAGGCCTTCAGCTCCCCTGAGCTCGGGCTGCCCTCTCCTCTCAGCCCCAGGAAGGAATCCTGGGTTCTTTGGTTTCACAGCTGAGTGCCAGCCTCTCAGCCTTGCATCTCTGCTTCCTGGGACATCCGGGACCACTGCCTCTGGGCAGCCTCTTACCTCTCTCTGGGTTTTTGTTGCCACTGGGTACTGGGTATTTCCAGAAAATTCTTGACCCTTAGTTTTGGTTTTCTTGGCTTATTTTTTTTGTTTTTCTGTGATGCTTTAGTTTTCAGAGTAATGTCACCTTATTGCTGTATCTCTGAGGGTTTACATGGGGAGTGGTGCAGGGTGCAGGTCCAAATAGTGCTGAGTGAATGAAGAGGGACATGCTCATAGTTGCAGGTTAGAGCTTGGTTACTTCTCACAAGAGTGTTGTCAGGTGGAAGGAGCAAGTGTGTTTTTATTCTACTGGGGAGTGCTGCTGAAGCTGGTAAACGGGGCCTTCAGGTCAGAGATCCCTGGTGAGTAAGGGCCTGGGTGAGGGCTGTATGACTGTTGTTCTTTAACCTGTGACCCTAGGCCCGTGTCTTGTATTCCCTGTGCCTCAGTTTCCTCATCCGTAGGTTGTGGGTGCCTATTGGACCTGGTTCATGGGATGGCAGGAGGCACAGTTAAGAGAAACCCTAACAGAACTGTCAGGGTGGTGGCTGGTGCGTGGTGAACACTCCCTGCCATGTGTCCTGCGTCCCCATAATGGGTGGTGCTTGCATAGAAAGGGAGGACGGTGCACTAGGGGGGGACTTGTGATATACAGAAGGGCCTACAAATTGTGACTTGGAGCAGAGCTGTGCACCCAGCACCCCCATCAGTGAGGAAGACGTGAGCGCCACCCACATGTCTTCCTGTCACTTGTTACTTTCAGCATTCTCCTGATGGCTGGCATCACAGGTCAGATTGCTGATTCTGAGCTGATGTCAGCAGAGTCACACGTACTGTAGCCTTTCGCATCTGGCATAGAGTGTTTCTCGAAAGCATGGGCTTGGACTCAGATGCAGGTCCGGACCCCAGGACTACCATTTGCTGCTGGCACCATCTCTGAATTTCCTCACATCACACCTAAGAGATGCCGCCTCCTGAGGATGATGAGAACACTAGGTTATAATTAGATAGTGCGCATTAAGCGACCAGCTTATTAGACCCACGCTAAACACTCAGTAGACTTTAGCTGTTTGTTTCTCAGACTGGCATTCTTCTGGCTAGACCAGGCTCTGTTAGCATATTGACTCTTCTCCTGGATTTGACTTTTCAGAATAGCCATCCTATCTTTTCTCTCAACTGGGAGTGTGTGGTCAGTTTCCTGTGGAATACAGAAGCTGCCTGCCCTGTTCGGACGACGACAGATACAGACCAGGTGCGTGTGTCCCAGCCCTGAGCTGAGCCCTACTTCTGCTTCCTGAGTCAGTTACTGTGTCACTGTCCCCTGTACCCTCCATTTCTCTCCCCAGTCTCCTCTGAGATAGAGCCTGGGGCTGAGAAGCAGGCCCCTCGTTTTACACCCTTCCCACCTCACTGTGGATTTCTTTCTTTTACGTACCCTTCCATGGGGTGGTGGCATCTGGTGGGCTCCGGGGGTTCTGCAACACAGCAGGCGTCTGCTGGGCTGGTGGGTCACTCTACACCTAGATCCCTTCAGTGCCTGGTAACTAGCGGTAAAGCCTGCGGGTGTCAGCTTCTACAGGATAAGGCCTTTGTGCTCTAATACGACCTGCCCAGAGGCTCAACCCCTCAGGTTTAATGTGCCCCTCAAAACTCAGTGCTCTCCTGTGGCCGGAGCCCCTGCTCTCAGCCTGGCCCACACCCTCCCCTCTGGATGCCCCCCTGGCACCATGCTGCTTTGCTATGCTCTGAGACTCCCCAGGGAGGCGAGTGTAATTCCTTACAGTGGCACGTGTTTCCCTCCCTCCTGCTTCTCCCCCACTAGGCTGAGAGCTCTTTGTCAACAGAGCGAGGCTCATGCATAGGCCCTCCCTCCCCACCCCACCCGGGGTCCTCCTCACAGGTGCTCAGTGAGGACAATGGGGTGCTGGACAGTGCTGCTGGGGCTGTTGCCTGCAGCTGAGGGATGTGGAAGGCCGGGCAAAATTAAGTACTTGGAGAAGAGCAGGGATCATTTCAGTTACCTGATCGCATTTCATTAGGCATCATTACCTTTAACAGAATAACTGAGGCACAAAATGGAACATGAGAGTTCTTAAGGTTTTTTTTTCCTTTAAAAAATTAATTATGGGTCACTTGGGTCCCACCTTACTTTCTCCTTAGGGATTAGCATGGCTTCTTGTTGAGGTATTAACAGTATCCTGACAAGGTGAGGTAAATTTAGGTAAATTTAGTACCTTTGAGTCAGGGATCACACTCGGTGTGTTCAGATGCTGTGTTGGAAAGGGCTGCTGAGCACATGTGGGGTCACATTTTTGATGGAGATTTCTAAGGTAAATGGGGAAGCCTCTCTCATGCATGTGGGTCTCTGGGGGTGCGTTGTGTTTGTGGAATTGCTTGACTCTGTCTCTCTCCCCCCTTCTTGTCTCCGGCAGACTTGCTCCATCAGGGATCCCAACAGTGGATTTGTGTTTAATCTTAACCCGCTAAACACCTCTCAAGGATACATAGTCTGGGGCATTGGGAAGATATTTGTGGTAAGAACGATACGGTGAATTTCCCTTTGCTTTGAAACAAGGAGAGAGAGCACTAAAGCCACCTGCAGCTGGTGACGGGGAGGCAGGTGTCCTCGGGGGTTGCCTGGGGCACTGCGATGGCAGCTCTCGCTTGGGAGGAGGCAAGCAACTCCAGATTTAAGGGGGAAATAAAACCATCACCCCATTTTGGTACCATTCCCACCTGGGGACTGTCATTCTTTGAATAGTCAGTTATTCTTGATCTGTTGCTATGTGTGGAGCTGTTGTCCCCAGAGCAGCAGCAGGTGTCACCTGGGAACTTGTTAGAAATATAGATTCTTGGGCCCCTTCCTGGACCTCACGAGTCAGAAGCTGAACCTCTAGTCTAGAGGAGATGGGAATAGCGTTACTCTGTAAAAGGGAAGTGACTGGATGGCTGTGCTCTAGAATCTTCTCAGCACTTCCTTCATGTGGTGCATGTCTGGAGGCATAAGACAGAAAAAATCTCCGATTTAATGCCATTCTGTTACAAACTAAGCACCACAAGAAAGAAAAAACTTTCTTTTAAAAAATCTTGATTTAAATGTGTTTAAATTTTTGTAACAAAGTCCACATTGGAACAAGAGATTAAGCTTTGAAAATAGGAAGATGGAATGAGAATGTCTTAGAAAAATTTGATGCAGACGAGAACTCTGTCGGTAAAATACTGCAGAGGGACACACGGCTCGTCCCCAGCCGAGGCGAACATCCGAGCAGACCTGACCCTTGTAGCACTTGGGCTGTGTCTCGCTTCCCTGGAGTCCTCCAGTGTCTTTTTACAGGGATTTTTTCATTCATAATGTGTTTGATAAGGGCCTCTGTGTTGAAGTTAATGCTGGGACTGTTCCATTTACCAGATAGCGACTGCAGAGCTTGCTTGACACCAGGTGTGTATGACAGGTGTGCAACAGCTGGAGCCTGTTTGGCTGCCTAGACTAGTGCAGACGCAGGAACCTCCCAGAAGCCTGCAGAGAACGCACTAGAAGAGAGGACCATGAACCCCATAGAGAACATTCTGGAAGCAGGCACTAGCAGGGCAGTTAGGAGATGGCATGTTGTAGACACGAGAGAGCAGCTCTGGGTAGCAAAAGTAGAAACAGAGTTGATGGGAAGGGGTGTAGGCTCCCAGGAGTGGGGCTGCCAGTGTGCTGCTGGTCATCCCCCCACCCCGTACCCATGGGCTTGGCCACCCTTGGATACTCCCTGGTGTCCTCTCCCCTCCCCCCCATGCTGCTGGAGCTACCAGGTGGGACACCCCCAGGAGGCCTGAACACCCAGATTGCAGCTGGTGCCCCGGTGGGCAGGGCACAGCCCAGGTCCCCCCCAGCTTGTTCTCAGTGTGCAGGCAGGATCTTGAAGGAAGGAACCGGAACCTGCTTTTGATTTCCAGGGTCAAGGACCCTGGATGCAACCAGGCAACTGTAGGAGCACTTGAGTGAGTCTAGTCCTCATTGACCATTTCTCAAGTAGGAAACTTTAGTCTTTAGGAAAAAAAACTTTGTTTTGTTTCTTTATTGGTTTATTTTAAGTCTCCCTGGGTAGAGTGCTGTGGCGTTATAGCTCACAGCAACTTCAAACTCCTGAGCCCAAGAGGTTCTCTTGCCTCAGCCTCCCAAGTAGCTGGGACTACAGGCACCTGCCACTACACCCAGCTAGTTTTTCTGGTTTTAGTAGAGATGGGGTCCCACTCTTGGCTTAGGCTGGTCTTGAACCTCTGACCTGGAATAATCCACCCACCTCAGCCTCCCAGAGTGCTAGGATTAGAGGCATGGGGCACCTCACCTGGCAGAAAATACTTTTTTGTATGTAGTTCTGAACTCTATTCATTGTCCATTAACACTGAACAGATGGAAGTCTCACTTTTCTGTATCTGCCTGCCAAGAGGCATGTTTTGCTTCATTTCCACAGCTACAGTAAACTCCCTTGCTTTTTAATGGAATGATAGATACCAAGACCTTTCAGAAATACAGGAGTACGACTTCGCATTTACCTATGATTAATATGATTTCCATTGTATGTACTTTCTCTAAGATAACTAAAATTATTTTAAAATTACGGTCTATATACTGTATATTCCCTCTGTTTATTGTATATGGTACGTTATTTTATGCATTTGTAGATGCAGGACCGTGCTTGCTTCCGCAGCACATATACTTAAATTGTAGATGCAGAACTGTATAAATAAAATGACGTATACTGAACTGTAGGGGCCATTGATTATAGGTATTGCTATTGGGACTTTGAGTTTGGGCCTTAGCTGTCCAGACGTGGGGAGGTGGCATGGCAGGCTGACTAATAAACATGTAAGCGAGTAGGATTTTGAGTCGCTGGGGATTTTGTGTGGTGGGCCCCGTGCCTAAGTCATATGTGGCTCTTGCTATCTGGCTGCAGTTCAACATCTGTGGCACGATGCCCATGTGTGGGGTCATTGATGGGAAGCCTGCTTCTGGCTGTGAGGCAGAGACCCAGACCGAAGACCTGAAGAACCTGAAGCCCGAGAGGCCAGTGGGATTCGAGAAAAGCCTCCAGGTGTCCACTGAGGGCTTCATAACACTGACCTACAAAGGGCCTCTTCCTGCTACCCGAGGTGAGCTCAGAGCCACGTTGCTTCTGCTACTAGAGGGCGTCTGGGCGGGTCTGTGGCTGACCAACTGCCCCCTTTCCAACCACATGGCGTGAGTTTCCCCACTGCGGTCTGTGCCACCCACCTGGCTGCGGGAGCCACCTCCAGATCTTCCTGCTTTTGCCCTCATGGGACACAGGCGTCCGGGTTATCTGTGGCTTCCCTTTCCAAGGTCAAATGTGGTCTGAAAGTATTAAGTTACTTTGAGAGACAGCGAGAGAGACCACATTCCCGTGTTATTATAACATATTATAATTTTTGTATGTTATTGGTCAGTGTCTTGCTTTGCCTAATTTATAAATTAAACTTCCTCGTAGATATGTATGTGTATGAAATACATAGTCTGTATAGGGTTTGTGATTTTAGGTACCCACAGGGACACTTGGACTGTGTCCTCCACAGATAATGGGGGGTGAGGGGGTGTTACTGTAATCAACACTCAACGAGTGATTTTTTTAAGTGTTAGATTATGTCACTTCTCAGCTCAAAGCCTTCTGGTGGCTCCATGTCACACCTAGAGTAGAAGCCAGCTCTCTCAAGGTGGCTGAAGGACTCCCATGAAGGCTCTCTGGTGTGGTCACTCCTGCCCTTCCCGCACTCTCCTGAAGGCCTTCCCTACCCTCCTGAGCTTTTGTGCTCGTACCCCCTGTAACCAACACGTCTGAGGGCAAGCGTTCTCTTTCTTTCACTACTATAGGGAGTAGGAACTTAGTAGGTATTTGTTGAATTAACCAGTGAGTGAGAGTTATAGTTATGTTGTTTTCTAATGTGTGGATTGATAAACTGATGGGGGATTTGAATAAGTTGTGGAAGAGTGAGAACGCCAAGATGTCAGGCACATGGTACACAACCACCCTGACAGGTTGCTATCGCAGTGGGTGTGGCCACTCTGGCCCCTGATCCAGACCGCCCACCCAGATGGGATAGTGTCAGTGGGTGCCTGTGAAGTGGTCCCTGTGGTGGTTGTGGTGGGTTGCACCGTGAATACTGTTCTGTCTCTCATAATCGGGCCTTTTTGCTCCACAGGTGGCACGAGTACTTTTATCATCCGCTTTATTTGCAATGATGACATTTACCCAGGAGCCCCTAAATTCCTGCATCAAGACATCGACTCCGGACGAGGGATCCGAAACACTTACTTTGAGTTTGAAACTGCATTGGCCTGTGTTCCTACCCCAGTGGACTGCCAAGTCACCGGTAGGGCCATGAGGTCTAAGAAGTAATAGGCTGGTCAAAAGCAAGCATGTGTGTGAATGTCTGTGCAGGTTGTATGTTTTGTTTTATAGGGAGCGTGGTGTTTGGGTTACGTATTTTCTTTGGATAATGCCTAGAACTGTAATGTTTTTCTTGAAAAGACTCTGGATGTACAGTTGAGAGTTATAAGCTATGTTTTTTTTTTTTTTTTTTAAATTGTTGGGGTACAGAGAACCAGGTCATACTGCTTGGATTTGTTAGGTAAAGTCCCTCTTATAATTGTGTCCTCCCTCCAAACTTTTAAGCTATGTTTTAGGCTCAGATGCTACTGAAGAACAGAAAAGAAAACTCACAGGGGAAAAAAATGCACAGGACATGGCAAGAGCTATTTATTTGAGGAGAAAAATAAGAAAAAGGCATTGGAATGCCGTAAGCCATTCCCCTGAAGCTGACCAGCGTCCCCTGGCCCACTGATGTCTGTGGGTTGGCTCTGCCCCTCCCTCGCAGTGGGGCTTCCTTGTGAAGGGCATTTTTTTTGTCTTCGTTCTTTTTTCTTTTTCAAAAGACATGGAGTCCTGCTGTGATGCCTAGGCTGGCTTGACCTCCTGGGCTTTAGGCGATTCTCCTGCCTCAGTCTTCCAAGTACTTGGGACTGTGGGTGCACACCACCGTGACTGCCTGCGGTGGCAGTTTTGAAGACGAAGCCTCTCTGCCTCCTGTGGGTTTGCAGTTAGAAAGGTCAAGATCACGTCCTAGCAGCCTTCCCTGAGGGTCTCCAGAGCTTACAGGACAGGAAGGCAGGTTCTAGCATGTTTGTGCTGTATTTCAGACCTGGCTGGAAATGAGTATGATCTGAGTGGCCTGAGCTCCGTCAGGAAGCCTTGGACTGCTGTGGACACCACCGCTGATGGGAAGAAGAGAACTTTCTACCTGAGCGTTTGCACTCCCCTCTCTTACATCCCTGGATGCCACGGTAAGCTCTCTCTTTATTTATGTTTATGTTTATTCATACTGTTTCTGGCTCAAGGCCACCCTCCTTTCCGTCACATGCCTCACCCCAGTGGTTTTCTCCCGTTCTTCCAGGCAGCGCTGTGGGGTCTTGCTTAGTATCAGAAGATAATAGCTGGAACCTGGGTGTGGTACAGATCAGTCCTCAAGTGGCAGCGAATGGATCCTTGAGTGTCGTGTACGTCAACGGTGACAAGTGTGGGACCCAGCGCTTCTCCACCAGGATAATGTTTGAGTGTGCTCAGATTTCGGTGTGTGTTCAGAACAACAGTGAGCGTTTTGTCTATGGGCTCTTCCATTTTTGGTTTTCTTTAATCTCTGACTGTCTTACCCTGTGTAAACCTTGCCTTGTTTTTCTCTGGCTTTCCGACCGTCCCTGGGGTTTGACGAGAATGTGCTTGTTTCCCCAAGTCTTTGATGTTTCAGAACTGCTCTATGTTTTGCTCATGGAGGTTGAAGATTAGATAATTAATTATGGCTATAATTTTTAAAAAAATGAGTGGGAAACAAAGCAAGCTGTTGGTGTCTGTTCCAGGGCTCACCGACATTTCAGCTTCTGGATGACTGTGAGTACGTGTTTGTCTGGAGGACTGTGGAAGCCTGCCCGGTGGTCAGAGCGGAAGGTGAGACCTGCGTGACCCACCTGTGAGGCTTTGCAGGTGTTTAAAGTAGAGATGTTCCCGACGTCCTAGATAGGAAGTCCATGGTAATGGCACAGGTGGGATTGTGAAGCACTTTGTAGAGGCTGGGTAAGTTCTTATCCTGGAGTTCTTTCCGGTCTAGTACGGTGCTTATTTTCCCAGTAACATTTTCCTTGTGTCCCTCGACTGTTGTGATTTTGGCTTTTCACACTTAAAAACACTAATGTGGAGGGTTTTGTTTTGTTTTGTTTGATGAAGTGGGTTGTTGTCCTGGGACTGAAGCTTTTCTAAAAAGCTGTTTGCCAGACAAGTTGTATTACATATAAATAAAATCACATGGAAATGGGTTTTAATGCCCATTTGAGGACAGTCCCTACCAGATTAAAAACTATACAACTTCTTGCCTGGAAGTGTGTTGTGGGTGTAACTGCTGGCGCCCATGGTGTTCTTGAAGGAGACAACTGCCAGGTGAAGGACCCCAGGCACGGCAGCCTGTATGACCTGAAGCCCCTGGCCCTTAGCGACACCATCGTGAGTGCCGGCGAGTACAACTATTACTTCCGGGTCTGTGGGCAGCTTTCCTCGGGCGTCTGCCCCACCAGCGACAGGTCTAAGGTGGTCTCCTCGTGTCAGGAAAAGCCTGGACCACAAGGATTCCAGAAGGTGGCAGGTACCATCGTTTTTCCTTCTGCTTTTTAAATTAAAAATTCAAAATGGTATGCTGAAGGTGTCTTTCTCTTGAGTAGGAAGAATGAGCATTCTAGTAAAACAACAATTTCTGAGTTCACTTTTCTTGTTTTCTTTTTTATTGTTTGAGACAGAGTCTTACTTTTCCTCACTCTTCTGCCCAGGCTAGAGTGCGGTGGCGTCAGCCTAGCTCACAGCAACCTCAAACTCCGAGGCTTAAGCCATCCCTTGGTCTCAGCCTCCTGAGTACCTGGGACACCCGAGCCTAATCTTTCTATTTTTTGTAGTGATGGGGGTCTCACTCTTGCTCAGGCTGTTTCAAACTCCTTAGCTCAAGTGCTCCTCCCTCCCCAGCCTCCCAGAGTGCTAGGATTACAGGCGTGAGCCCCCACACCTGGCTTTCACTTGCTTTCCTTAAGCAGCATACATACTGAAGAATTTTGTTAAGAGTGTATTTATTTTATTTTTATGTAGCCATGCCAGTTGCTGACTGTAAGGCTGCACTTCTTTTCTTTATGGCAATATTAGGACATGCTCAACTAGCCAGGGACAGGTATTCTGAGGTAGCACTTTGCTGTTGCCTTTGGCTGTAAAAGTTCCAGGGCAGACTATTGCTCATTTATGCTACGTCAGCAGCCGGGGAGGATTTTACTACATTTCAGAACTTTCTGAAATGGAGTTGAAGTTGCTGATGTGTGGACATGGGCAGCCTCGGGAGCCACAGAGGAAGTGATATTCCCTTACCACCCAGGCTGAGCGTGCTGACATGTCATCATGCCCATGGTTAGCCTGTCACCTTGCAACCTTGTCAAGGGAGGCTGGGTTGTATCCTCCCTGGAGTATAGCAGTGTGACCCGGAGCAGGTAGCACAGTGCTGGGAGGCCGGGGGTGCTTTGTCTTTACTCTTCAGGGTGGGTGACGGGATGTGTCTTAGAATAATGCTCGGCCACCTGGGGCCCCTTGAACTAAACCTAGTTTAATGTGCTTCTTCTGGAACAGGTCTCTTCACTCAGAAGCTGACTTATGTAAATGGATTGTTAAAGATAAACTACACTGGGGGGGACACGTGCCATAAGGTGTACCAGCGCTCTACGACCATCTTTTTCTACTGCGACCGCAGTACCCAGAAGGTGAGTGGATGCGGCTGCCCTGCTCCGGCTGCTGTTATCTTTGTGAAATCAACCTGCCCTCAGATCTCAAGAAATATGGTTAATTTAGTTTAAAGTGCATTATAGATGTAAAATATGTTGAAACTTTTATCAGTTTCTATCGATTTTAATGAATATAACTATTCCTTTCTGTCTTCATCCTTAAAATTGAAAGTATAAACCAGGGGTCCTCAAACTTTTTAAACAGGGGGCCAGTTCACTGTCCCTTAGACCGTTGGAGGGCCGGACTGTGGGCCCCGGGACAAGTCGACTGTTAAGCAGGACAGGCAGCAGCAGCCAAAACACCAGCGGGCTGGATAAATGTCCTAGGCGGGCTGCATGCGGCCCGCAGGCCATAGTTTGAGGATGCAAAGTCTCTCATTCTCGTTTTTATATGTATTTTCCATCTTAACTTTTTAGCCAGTATTTCTAAAGGAGACTACAGATTGTTCCTATTTGTTTGAGTGGCGGACGCCGTATGCCTGCCCACCCTTCGATCTGACTGAATGTTCTTTCAAGTAAGTTGGTGTATACGTTGAATTTTTGGGGCAGCCTGCCTAGAGGGGATGTTGCTAGTGATTAGTGATCAGGGGATTAGAGGAATCTGTCAGTTTCCCTACACCTTGGCTCCCTAATGTTAAATGAGGAGTTCAGTCAGGTTGATCCCCAGGCCCTTCACAGCTCAGAGATTCCATGGCTATTTTGCATTGAGATGTAAAGTAGGTGGGAAGTGATTGGCGCTGGAATGTAACCCAGGAGCTTGCATGCATGCGTGCTTCCCACGTGCAAGTGGGGAGACTGGGACCGGCAAGACGTGGAGCTCCTGTGATGGGGGGTTCTCTCGGAACTTTGCATCCGTGGGATTTGTAGTTCTGAGGGTCTGCATTTTGCAGGAACGCACTGACAGTTCCGATGTGTGACAAGCCACACATACAGCCACTTGGCCACTATGTAAAATGTGTCCTTTTGGTGTCTCCTTCCAGTCTCTGTCCTGCTGTGTCTATTTTTTAAGTTTCAGTAACATGTATGAGTGTGTACGTTTAAAAATTTGTGCTTACTTAACGTCATCATTGCAGCATTAACCTTCCCCAACGAATGTTTCCTAAAGATTTCACCTGAGACAGATCCGTGTCCCACTCCCCAGTGGGAACCTGACCCACTCCCCCTTCCCGCTGCCTTTGGAGGCTGCCTCCAGTTTTCTGATTCCTACATACAAGGAGTAAAAATTTGATTTCCTTTATATACAAAACTTTTGCCTATAAGTATTTTTATGCTAATTTTTTAAAAGAAGAATGAAATCTAAGAAGATCTTTCATCATCAGTTACATTAAAAGTTAACACATATGAGTGTAATTAATGGTGAAAACAAAAATATGTGGCATGCAATTTCCCCTCCCGACCCCTCACCCCAGCCTCCTGCTGCTCCTTACCCCATCTTCTTGGGGCTCTTTGTGGGGCACTCTGTAAGGCTCGGAGGTACACACCTGCCACCTGGCAGCCCTGGCATCTGCCGACTGCTTTAGAAGGTGAAAACTGACCTTCATTTGTGAGCAGTGTAACCTCATGTTAATCTGGGGAAAATATGATGAAAGCAGTGACCCTCAGAAGGTGCCGGCCTCTTCTCCTGTCTACCCTGCAATTCCACTTTTTTCCTCCTGCTGGATGTGCTTAGGATATCACCTCATGTACGCCAAGCTCTGTTTCTTACTCTGTCATCTCTTGGTGTCCCTCTCTTTCTGCCTGCTGCCCCAATCTGGGCACCCTTCTTCCTGCTCCTACCATCTCCCCCATCTCTTCCCCACACATTCGACTGGTTCCTCATGCTAACTGGAAGAGCCCTGTTCAGATAGGAGCCTGGCCATCTCAGCCTTTTGCTGAAAACTTCAATGCGGTGATCACCCATCTCATGGGGAGCTACAGGCTGATGTTCCTGCTATGACCAGAGGCCCTGTTGACCTCTGCCCCCACCCTCTGTCTGCTTCCTCACTGGGAGGCTGTCTTCTCCTTGCTCCTGTGAAGGCACCGGGCCTGTCCTGCCCCAGGCCCTTTGCTGGTGCTGTGCTTCCAGGATGCTCTGGGTAATTAGCTATTCCATCCCTCTCAGAGTGCATTCACCTTCTCCCCATTAATGTTGTAACTGGTACATGGTTGGTTCTCAGTCACTGATGCGTGTTTGAGGTTTTGTGTAGTTAGTGAACTTTTAGCCAGAGCAGAAAGGCCACCACAAGCCCATTGTTTTTTCTTTTTTTCCAGTGACCATGGGTGGCCTCAGGGCTAGACAGCAGGTGGCCTGTGATGGGCATGCCTGAGTGTCTGTGCTGCTCACACCTGCCACCACCCTGAGCACAGACAGCACACACCTTTCAGATTTGGTTTCTTGTTAAGACTTAATTTTGTTTAGTGAGTCTTAGAGTTTCTGACCTGGAAGTTGTGTTGTTGCTGACTCTGGATGTGTGAGAGAGACAGGAGCCTAAAGTTCTGTCACGGGGTAAGACTTGGTTCACGATGCCAGAGCATGCTCAGCATACCTGGCAGTGGCCGGGGCTGACCACAGTGTCCTCCTCCCTCCAGAGATGCGGCTGGCAACTCTTTTGACCTCTCGTCCCTGTCACAGTACAGTGACAACTGGGAAGCCATCACCAGTACGGGGTCCTCGGAGCACTACCTCATCAACGTCTGCAAGTCTCTGTCCCCGCAGCCTGGCACTGGTGAGAGAGGGGCCCTGAGGGTGACAGCTGGTTGGGAACTTACCAGGGAAGGTGAAGGATGGAGTAGGAAGGATGTTCTTCATGGGTGCTCTCTGCACCATGTCAGTGGTTTGGCCAAGGAGCAGTAGGAGGAGGAGTGACTTGAGGGTTTTTTTGTTTGTTAGTTTTTTGAGACAGAGTCTCACTGTGTCACCTTTGGCATCATAGCTCACAGCAAGCTCAAACTCTTGAGCTTAAGTGATTCTCTTGCCTCAGCCCCTCAAGTAGCTGGGACTACAGGCGCCGGCCATAACACCCGACTATTTTTTTTGTTGTTGTTTTGTTGTCATTGTTGTTTAGAAGGTCCAGGCTGGGTTTGAACCCACCATCCCCAGTGTATGTGGCCGGTGCCCTAATGACTGAGCTATGGGCAACAAACCTGGTCTTTTTTCTTTCTCTTTTTTTTTTTTAAATTAATTTGTTTTTAAATTTCTTTCTTTTTTTTTGAGACGGAGCCTCAAGCTATCCCCCTGGGCAGAGTGCC